AAAGGAACGAAATAGTTGAGACTAGTTTTGCCTGAATAACAAAAGAAATGCAATAAATAGAAGAAGCTGAGGGCTAAAAAGAAATATGGCTGAAGGCTGAATATAACTGAGCGACTCTGATGGTTTAAATGGAAAGTGTCATAGCTAACGGGAATTAGGGCTAAAGTTTACAATAATTACCCTCATCTATTAAAAACCTGGAAGTTAATATGAAGTTAGAGTTAAAATATAGTGTAATGTGAGAACAAACAATACATTGTTTAAAGGGTTTCACATGATGATACACAGCTAGCAAAATAAATGTACACAAATTTATTACATTATAATAATATTAAAATAAGTATAACATTTTAAGAGAGATCAACACTTAGAGAAAAAAGATAAGCAATTACATACCAGTGATGCTATCATTTAGTGGGTCGAAATTTATAGGATTGAGAAAGTGTGACCCACGTGCCTTACACTCGAAACTTACTAGGTTACTGGTACTTTCTAAGGGCTAAACAAGAAGTAGTAAAATAGACAATTAAAATTTTCCTATACTAAAGTGAATGAGGAAATAAAACAATTCAAATACTATACTATGATAACAATAAGGATGAAAATGCACTTTCTTCAGACTGTTATCATGCGTATTTGTTGTATATAGGCATTTAAACAAAGGAGTCAGAATGAAACCAGCTATGTTGTTGAGTTTATAGGGTTGACAGTTTTCTAGATGCTGTGTCCCAACTAATAGCGAGGAACACAAACATTTTGGTAGTGCTTAGAGAAGTCGCTTTGGTCAACAGTCCCATAATATCTATTGAAAACATGGGAGTTAAATGAGATCAAAATAGAGTTAAAATATAGCACAGTGGTAGAACAGATAATACATTGTGAAAAGGATTTCACATGATGTTCCACATATAGTTTACAATGCATAAGTCTTTGTCTAGTTTAGTAGTTCTCATCAATAAGAAACTTCAGCTTCTTGAGTGCGTATCTGCTTTTCTGAGAGAAAGTGGATGTTGCTTAATTTTTGAATTTCAGAAAGATATTTGGTATATTTTGATTTGTGGAAGCTGCGTTTGTTTTTCATCCAGAACCAATCAAAAGGTTTCCCTCCAAATTCCAAGAAGTGAATTCGGAGCCTGCCTGCAGGTTATAAAAGGGGCCTTGGATTTAATTGAAGGAATCCAGGAACATCATCTGCAGGAACCCAGGTTGCCTTGGTCCAGAAAGAATAACAATACAGAAGAAATTTGACAACCCCCAGATGAGAATTAAAAGGAACATCAAAGTTGCTCCCACATCAAGGAAAAGTTTTTGGCTGCTGTCATTGTTCTATTCTTTGCTGTTACCATGAATTTTGCTTTGAAAATTGTATAATTTCTTTACAATCATTACTAGGGGTCCACACAAAAAAATAACAAATTAAATTCTTAAATGTTTGTAGCAGCAAAGTTTTATCTAAAAATACTAAATTAAAATGTTATAATTAAAATCTTTTTCTTTTTTTTAAAAAAATTACAAAAATTATCTCCTTGCATAATTGAAAATTTTGAATTTGAAATGCTGTAGTGTAAACGAACAGTGAAAAACTTATTTTGAATTTATGTAGCTACTGTATACATGTCCACAGATATTTTAACCACCTGAAGATGGTCTCAGATGAGATTGAAAGTACTTGGGGAAAATAAAAATTATTTGAAAGAAAATTTTGGAATTTTTCTTAATCAATTTTTTACAGCCACCAAGAAATTAATTTGTGGACTTGAAAGGGTTAAAACTAAAATAAATAGACATAATACATTTAAATTATTTAACCAAACCTGCTTGGCTAGATGTAACTAAGTTCTTTGCTAATAGTTGACCTAGAGAAACAAAAGTGATATTGTTTGAAAAAAAAACCCTGTGAGGTGAGATGTTTAACCAATTCAGAGTTGATTAGATCCTCTAAGACTCTTTAGCAAAGAGGTAGATGTTGAAAAATAATTAAAAAAAAAAAAATGAAAGGAAACACTTGGCTTGCCCCAAAAGTTAGTTGTGTTGTTAGGTTGTTTTGGGGCCAATTAATTTAGCTATATACAAAAAGATTTTTTCTGGTCGAATTTTCACAGCTTTTATATATGTATTTCAATAAAAACAAATTGTCAAAATTGTCATGTTTTTTTTTTTTTCTATTTATTTTAACGTTAAAAATGGGGGAAAAATAAGCAATAACATTTCTGGTATATAAAGTAAAATAAAGTAACTAATGAAAAGTTTAATTTGGGTACTTTACTTTTTGTAAATAACCATTTGTGTCAAAAGTGGTATGCATAGTGATTTTCCAAGTGTAGCTTAGATGTGGCACAAGGCCGAAAGTAGGGGGCACCCAGTGAGGATCAAATTCACTACTCAGTCGTAATTGTTCTAGCGAGACAAGCTGGCTAACCATTACACCACCCTGAGGTGCCCCAAAAGTGGTATGTATAGTATTGTGCTGAACGATGTTTTGTCGTTGCGGAGACAAGTTGAAATTGATAACAAGATGTTATTTAGTTACCTCCACCAAAACATGACACCTAAGATTTAAAATAAATTTTTTAAAATGAAAAAAAATCTTTCTTGAAGTTTTTATTTTAGTTTTAATTTCAAGCTAATAGATTAAATTTAATATTTCCAATAAGCAAAATACTTGCTGTATTTCAAAACTAATTTAAATTAACTGGAAGGTGTCTTTATTTTGAAATTATTAAACATCATTCATTTTTGTGCCATCATCTGTCATCACAATGAAATTCTCTTTATTAAAAAAAATCTTTCAAAAATAAAATATACTTTACTGAAACTTTATTTGAGGGATATTACAGAAATGAATTTTTAAACATGGCGGTAACTGTTTATTTAAGGTGTTGATAGTTTCACTGACAGACAAGTTTTTCTACAGTGTATATGTCTGTAAAAATTACTTGAGGAATATAACGTGAGCATCTTTTATATAATTTTTAACTACTCAAAATATTCTCCGTAATCTAATGTTTTATTTAAGTTTAGGTACTTTGGCTTTAAATTTGTGTCTGGATGTCTGTAATTACAAAAATTGGCACATTTATACAGACAAAAATTTTTTTTAAAACATATTTTCCAGTTATGATTAGTAACTATAGGTTTTAATTAACAATATCACCTATCCTCTACAAAATAAGACAGAATTTTTAAAGATTTAAAATTTTATAAATTATTATAATTAAAATCTTAAAAAATGAAAATAATTGTAAAAATTCATTATTCATTGAAAAAATTTTTTTCCTTAAGACAATAGTGTCCATAATATATTTTATATAAGGACCTTGAATAAGTTCTCACTGTTTTCCAACAGATGGCGTTCCCAGAACTGCGTGCATGTAGTTTCTGATGGTAATGCATATATAAGGAAGTATTATAAGCAAGCTTGAAATTCAGTGTCATTTTGCCGAAGTGTAAACAACTTTGTTTTTCATAGCGTTAAACATGTTGGATTTCATGTTAAAGAAAATGAATTTGTGAGGAATTTTACTGCAGTACTTTATTCAAAAGAAATCTCCAGCTGAAGCACACAGAATTCTTGTTGAGACTTACAGTGACCATGCTCTTTCAGAAACAACATGCAGAGATTTATTTAGATGCTTCAAAAATAATGATTTTGATGTTGAAGATAAAGAGCGCTTGGGTGCACCGAAAAAAGTTTGAAGATGAAGAATTGGAAGCATTACTTCATGAAGACTCATGTCAGGCGCAAGTTGAACTTGCAGAATCATTAGGAGTTGATCACACAAGTTTCAAAACATTTGAAAGCATTAGGAATGATTTAAAAGCAAGGATATTGGGTGCTGTATGAGTTGAAGCTAAGAGACATTGAATGGCGTCTTGTCATGTGTGAACAGTTGCTTCAACAGCAGAAAAGGAAAGGTTTATACGAGCAGAGACATGACACGGTGATTTTGCTAGGCCACATGTTGCAAAATTGGTGAAAACCTACCTGGAAAAACTTAAATGGGAAGTCCTACCCCACCCACTGTATTCACCAGACATTGCCCTGTCCGATGATCACTTGATCGATGACACATGGCCTGGCTAAGTAGCACTTTCATTCAAATGAAGATGCCAAAAAATGGGTCAACTCATGGTTAGCCTCAAATGACGTGTCGTTTTTCTGATGCGGAATTCAAATGCTGCCAGAAAGATGGGGAAAAGTAGTGGCTAGTGATGAACAATACTTTCAGTGACATGCTTCTTGCTCATTTTTGTAAATAAAACATTACTTTTCATGAAAAATCAACAAGAACTTATGCAAGGTCCTAATACATAAAAGCAATTAAAATCTTTTACATTTTTTTACTTTAAGATTCAGGGCAGATTTTTTGTAACTGGGGTCTTGTTTTACAAAAAAATTCTCCAAGAAGTTTTGCTTTTAGCTAATATAAACATTAACCTATATAAAATCTAATTTCTCAATTTCCTAAAATTAAATAAGTGTGTGTATTTGGTAACAGATGTGAAAAAAGAAAATAATTTTTACCAAGATTTTCTAAAAAAAAAAAAAAAAAATATTCATTTGTGAATATGTCCTGAATGTTTCACTTTTTGTTTTTTTTTAAACAATATGTTTCTTTCCATCTAGCAGCCTGAATATTTGAGAAATCTTGTTAGAAATATGCACCCTCTGGCAGGATTTGCACATGCATCCTCTAGGAGAAACTGCCATTAGATGATCTGATGTGCTTTGACCTCTTGGCCATGGAGAATCCCCTGGCCATACAAAGCCCAAATAATGCTTTTAAACACAGACATTTCTTGAAGTATACATCTCTACTCAGTTTCGTATCCTATGGAATTAAATATAATGTTTAATAAAAAACAGAAAAACATTAAAAAAAAAACTACTCAAATATGGGGGTTCATTAAAAATAACATTTAAGCAATAAATTAAAATATGTTGGATTAATTTAGTATATAAATTTCTCTTTTTTTTTTTTCTTTTTTTTTTGTTGTAGGTATATCCTTAGTTGTGGTGCTGATGGTGATGTTCGTACGTGGGATGGCTTTGATGATTCTGATGCTGCATCTTATCAAATTGGGGAAACAGTTTATTGTGTTATTTATAAGGTAAGATTTGTTAGTGATAATATTGCTTCTTTTATGATTGTAAGATACTGGACCACCCATGTCATTTATAGCAATTCAATAAATAAATAAAACTTATCTTCTACAGAAACATAATAATACATAAATAAATACTGTTTCTTCCTCTCTCCCACTCTTGATCAAACTTGATTCATCTGATAGGCTAAGATTTATGCTAGCACTGTAGGCTGCCAGGACTTGAACCTAAACTAACTTCAGCACATTGTTTAACATCATCCGCTCACTATTCCAGTTAGTGATGGGTGGGGCTTCAGATTAAGACTCTCCTGCAGATAATAGAAACTTATTTGACTAATTAGGATTTTGGGGATGATGCAAAATTTTGGATTAAATTTTTGTTATATTTATTTCAAAAGCAATTATTTTCTTAAGATAGTAATAAAAAACATAGTAAATGGAGCATGTATATACACACACTTGTGCAAAATAAACAAAACTTAAGCACTTTTAAAACTAATGAATTAAACCTGAATGTTTAAAGATTTAAATTTACATATTTGAATTATTTATCTCTAAATGTGAAAAACTAAATTGAAAATACAAAGGACAATTTAAAAGTGATAAATAAAGACTTTAAAAATTTTTGATTGGAAATATTTGAAATACATTAATATTCTTTATATAGAAAATGATTGTTGTCTTAAATTATGATAAAATTTACCTTGAGCAAAAATTAATTAATAAGAACATTTCTGTATAAAATTATTCAGAGGTGATTTAAATAAAAATAAACAATAATAATAATAATTATTCATGATTTAAATAATAATAATAAATTTTCAAGATGATTTACCATATATACTTGCATATCATGCAATCTTTGAAGACTTAATTTTGAAGCTAATTTGACTATGGTAAATGGATATATAGATTGGTCAATGGCGTAGCCAGATCCAGCAGTCTATATACTAATTTTATATCTCATGTATGATGCAACCTGCTTAAAATTAGCTTCAAAATTAGGTTTTCAAAAGTTGCATGATACGCGAGTATATACAGTAAATAAAAATAAATTCATAATAATAAATTATTCAAGATGATTTAAATAAAAATAAACTTATATAATAGTAAATTATTCAGGATTATTTAAATAACTTATAGATACTGTAAGAATGTACTTGAAGGATTCTTAGTTTTTGTGAGAAATAGTTTGTCCAAGAGTTTGTTACTGAGAATCAATGAGCGGTATCGCAAAGTGAAATACAGTATTGGCAATAATGAACTTCAAGTATTTAATAAGAGTAAAGGTCTTCACACTTCCAATAAAATAATATTTGAATACAACACACTATAATATTAAATGTAAATTGAGTGTGTATAAGGTGTTAAATAAACCTTTGAACCTTTCCCTTCATATTATAACTCTTACAATCATTCTAGAATATAAAACATAGATGAATTTATTGAAAATCTGAATTCGAAGGCTGTTGCTATAGTCACTGAGAACCACTGTACCTCCCTCTAAGGCACTAGTGACTTGGGTACTACAATTTAAAGACTTCTTCCATTATCATATTTTGAAATGTAGCATATTGTCAATTCAAAGTTAGTTGGACTGTATCAGCATTGAAATAGAGAATTTTAGTTTTAATTGTGAACTCTGGTAAAGGAAGTAATGTGTTTTTTATATCATGAGATATGAAAATTGACACCTCACCATTGCATGGCAACATCTGTTGACGCTTGCAAAGAAAGCCAAGAACAGCAAAACATTATTTTCATCATATGGATTATTATTATTATTATGGTTCTTTCTTTCCACCCTTAACAGAGTTTAAAAGCATCCTCATGGACTTGTGGGTGATTATTTTTCACCCTACAACCCCTTTTCACATGGATGATACATCGCAAACCTCTCACTGCCTTACCATAGAAAATGTTCTTAGCTCCACCAGTTCAGACCTTTACAACAAAATCCACCAATGCCACATGTACAGAATTTAATCATTTGGACAGTTTCCCAAGAACTACATTGTAGAATAGACTCCTAAGAGCACCTGATTATTTTATTTTATTTATTTATTTTTTTTTAATCAAGTTCACCCCAAGCAAGTCAGTAAAGCCACCGAGAGTCAAGGGGTTACTGGGTATGGAAGATTTAGAAACAGTAACATTGTTAAGGAGGAAGAACGAAAGAAGAGTAATCAGGAGGAGATTAGATAGCGATTGATATTGCATTTAAATTTTTCCAGATTAAAGTTGGCTGGAAAGCATGGAGCCGAAAGGGAGTTCAACAAATGAGAAGTGCGAGAAAAGAACCTGCTAGCATAGAATTTATGGTTATATCTAGCCAACTCAACTGTAAATTGATGAGACCTTGTTGCCAGTCTTTAATTCAAAGAGTCTAGGCACCATAGCAAAGGGCTCATCCAAACAATTACCATGAAAGTATTTATAGGAAAGGCAAAGGGAGGTAATATTACAGTGGTGGGAAAGGCTGAAGCCGAGATGCCAGAACAGGGCCAATAATATTGTTGGTTCTCCTTGGATTTTATCAAGGAGCTCTAGATAAATAGCAGATTATTAGAATCTTAAGTATACTCTTCAAGTCTAGGGTCAATCGTTATCTAGCCTACATATCCTCATACTCTGCATTCCTTACTTCATCCTTTTATGTCCATACAACACCCTTGTTCAGTAACCTTTGTTGAGTGGCTCTTGTATTTGGGGGCAGGAGAGAAAAGAAAGTCTGTCATGTGAGTAAACATGTCAACTTTGTATAATGGAGCAATAACCTGGTGAATGAAAGTGTTACTTTGTCAGTTTGGTGATATAATAAATAGGAATTCAATCCCTGGGCAGGGTAGTACTAGTTTAGGCTCAGTAGAAACAGGGTGAACAATAACAGAGCAGTACTAAATGAGATGAGATATATCTAGAGATTGACAGTGGAAGGAGAATAATCTATAAATAAAGGATTCAGATGGAAATTCACTGAAGGTTACCCAGATTGACAGACATCTGATGAAGACCAGAGGATACAGTGGTTGAAACATGATAATAGCAACAAAGATTAGGACATCAGTCTGAATGAAAATATTGAATATGAAAGACGGGGAGGGGTTTTCTATGTCATTATATATGGTACTTCTCACATTTTTTTTTTTTTTTTAAACCTATTAAATCTTGTCTCCCAAATTTTCTGATCATATTTGAATATATTTTGTGATGATTTAATACTGTTTGATAAAATTCTGAAAATGTCTACATTTCTTTACAGAACCAGAAATTCTACACAGCTTCCAATATGAATTCTGTGCAAGTGTTCACTTTCCCAGATGGCACACCCGATGGCCTGGTAACTCGATTCACTGCTCCACCCACTCATATATGCATGAATCATTCAGGTTCAATTTTAGTGGCTGGGGCAAGGTAAAAAGTGAAATATTTTCTATTTTTATTTATATACACATATGTACACACACACACTATGCTTAATTGTCTCTACTTACTCTGATGACCTAAGAAAGTTGAAAGCTTGGACCATATTTTTTTCTGAAATGAACTTCAGACAATTTCTGATTGATTTTCTTCTCTGAGAAGTATTATTCATAATTTGGAAAAGTCTATCAGTAAAATTAACTGACACAAATTGTCTTGTTTTTAATATTTAATTTAAAGAACATTTGCTACCTAAATACATAGAATATATGCATACATATATTTATTTAATTTGTCTACTGGCCTTGAATGTTTGAGAAATCTTATTAAAGAAAAAAATTTGCACTCTCCAGCAGGAATCAAACCTATGTCCCAGCCTGCCTTATTGGCTTGACAACAAAGAGCAGACACTTGGACGAGGCCAAAATTTTGTGCTTTCATGTGAAATTTCTCCTGTCATTTTTTTTTTTTTTTTTCATATCTGCACAGTTTTGTATCCAAACGTAAACAAAGAGAATTTTAGAATGGATTTTTTTATTAATCTGACAGATCTTTATCACTTTAAATGTTATTTTTGTGGATGCTCGTATTTGAGAAGAAACTCCGTTTATTAGACAGTTTTTTTATTTTCATCTACTGGCATGAATGTTCAAGAAATCTTATCAAAGAAAAATTTACGTGTAATAGTAGTATTTTCAAGTTGCTCACAATCGTGACTGACAAATTCTATCTTCTTCATGATTACTTATGTTTATATAGTGAAGGGATTTTCTTATTGGTGGGAATATTTATCAATAAAGACAGAGAAAATTCAGCAGCACCAGAACCAAACACTGAGTCACAATGAGCAGGGCACATGCAAGACTTTCATATGGAAACACCACATGTATGGGACAAACGCAGCCAAGACACCAGAAACGCAAACAAGGATGAACGAATTTGAAATGATGCTATGTAACACAAACAAAAATCCTAGCTAATGCACAGCAATCCCTTTGTGTGGTCAACATGGCATACTGCCAAACTCTCTCTTCCCAGAAAATGTATCTGCTTTTATGGAGCCTAAAACTTTAGTAGTTGGCTAGCAAAAGGAATCATTTGCATAGCTAACATTGCTTAGCTCACCATCCCAACTACCTCGTGGCTAAGCTAGTAAACACTTTCTTTCTTCATAACCAGACATTCCAGGGTTTGCACTGGCTTTTTTGTAGCAAGGCAGCCATGTGCTGTCTTTCTACAGAGACAGCACACTAAATGTTGTCTCTTTGACGGGTACTGTTACCATTAGCAATTAGCTGTTCTGTCTGCATTTTGTACCACTACAGGTAACACTGAATCTTGTTCTTGAAGGGCAACCATATGCTGTCTTTCTGCAGAGACAGCACACTGAATGTTGTCTCTTTGAACGACAAGTAATTGACTGCTCCCTCTGCATTTTGTTTTTCACGCTACATATAGGGTGTCTCTTGTTCATATGAAATTGCTCCAACTCTTAGATTTACATATTAGATCTCTCTGAAACGTAGGGGCCTTATGACCTTGGTCCGTCTTTTGCTTCTTCTATCCTCTGTTCCATTTTTGTGGTTTCTTTGCTCCTCTTCTTCCTTTCCCTTCCATATTTTTTTTATCTTTGTGGTTATCTTCCTTCAGTTGATCTTTGTCGGAACTTTCATATCAGCTCATAGTTCTGATTAATAATATTCCAAAGGGAAACACTGGAACACAAGAGTAGTGAAAGAACTTTAATCATGTATATTAATATCACAATACTAGCGACTATTGTAGTTAGTACGACACACTTTGTGACTTCTGCATGACTGATTTTATCACTAGAAAAGTTCATGTTCAACCTTTAGTGTAGCAAAGGTTGTTCGTCTCTCTCTACACAACAGACATCGAGATTTTCTTCCCCCTTATTTTCATCCGCTTCCATTTGTATAGACATATCCATATTATTTTCATTATGGTCATTGTTCTTTATATCCTTTGACAATTTTGTTGATCCATTTAGGTCTTGGGACATTATTTGATCCACATGGACAGGTATACAACTCCCTCGTCTATAATGGTTGTATTATGACTTTTTTCTATTAGAAAATTTGCCTTTTCTGGACTTGAATCCTTATTTTATTTTTGGTACCATATTCCTTTATTTATAGAATATGGCATCATTAAGGGAGTTCTGATTTGTCTTCCTATCAGAGCTGATTGGTTCTCTTTTTGTCTAATGTGCGGTATGGTTCTGTAACTTAGAAGCATTCTTGGTAGAAAGATTTATGTTTGCACTTAATGCTATGAACATGCTTTTCTGCCCATTTTTATGGTTTGTACCATCTTTTCCACTACTTCTATATAACCCCCATTCAAATGGTAATTTGATTGGAGATTATATAGAGGTATCTTGTAAAGCCTATGTGTTGAGTATTTTATCACAAAACTCTGGTATATTGTCAGAGACCATAGTTTTTGGTACTCCATTCCTTGAAAATGAGATTTTTAACATGTATCACCATGGAATTTCCTTTGTCTGACACAAATTACTTTAGGTCATCCTGAAATGGAATCTACTAATTTTAAGAAAATTTCCACACCACTGATGTATGTGTGATCCATATGACCTCTGCTCCATGTCTATAACTCTTTAGGTCATGAATGTAATTGTCTACAATTTCTTACATTTGGGACATTATTCTTCCACTTCCCTTGAATATCTTGGCCACCATTTCTTTTTTCAGTAGTCACTATTCTACAATGTATTTCATCCAGTACACTCTTTATTAACCTTTATCATGCTGGAAGCGAAAATTGTTGCTGTAGAATTCTCTCCTTTTTCTTTGATTATGACTCTGATGATGATTTTGAAGGCTTTACTCAAGTTGATATTGACAATGAAGTGGCCAAATATGATAACCACGCTATTGATGTGGAGGAAAGTGATAATGACCACTAGCGGCTACTAATTTTATGGAAGCTACTAGCGACCATAAATATATCTGATAGCCTTTCTGAAGGTGAATTATTTTGTCTATTTATAATCAACAAAATAATAACTTTATTCGTCAGTGAGACAAATAAATATGAATCAGGTGAAAGAAAGAGCAAAGAAATGCTTGTGTCTTCTCGTATGTAAACATGAGGAAACACGTCACTTTTTTGACAAAATAAAAGTTCTTCTTAGTGATTTTGCTTCTTATTGCACCCCCAGAAATCCACAGGGAGTAATAAAAGTTAGAATATGTTGAATTATTTATATATTTTTAATGTATTTGTTTTTTATTTTGCATTTCAATTTGTTTTTGTTTTCATCATCAAAGTATCCATGCAAAACGTAATGCATTGCATAATGCATCACATCAAAATATTCCTCATTCATTCTTTTATTAGTGTACAAAAATTAAAATATATACCCACAATACAAAGAAAATTATAACAATTTTAAAACAGTAGATGTTTATGTTTTTTCACCCTCAAAAAAAAAAATTTCAATGGCAAGTGGAACAACTCTAGAAAGAAATTAGTATGGTAAAGGTTAAAACTGTTTTGCATAGTTTCCTCAGCCAATGAATAAACATTGAAGCATTGAATTATTCTTGACATATTCTATGTGAAAATCAAAGGCAATCAGTTTTATTGCCCACCTTTAAATCGTTCACATTGTGACTTTAGGCAATTCTTTTCTCAGATTAAATATAACTTCTAACAGTCTATGATCACATCTTCAAAATTTTTTTCCACAATTAACAACTGATGGGCTCTAGTGGATGTCCATAGAAATGCCAAGGCTTCCTTTTCAATGTTGAATGATTCAATTCATTTAGTCAACCTTCTTCATAGATGCATTATAGGATGTCTTTTTTAAGATAATATTTCTGATAGCAAATGCCAGTTAGCATCTGTAATCAATGTCACATCTTGGATCAAATATTTTGACAACTGATCTTTTTAGCAAGAATTAATTTTAGTTGGTCAAATGTTTTTTGTTAGGGTTCCTCCTCCCATATGAATTCCATATTCTTTTTTTCTTAGCTTGGCAAATGACTCCGTTAATTCTGTATACGTTGGTAAGTATTGTCTATAAAAATTTATTAATCCCAAAAAGAATTTCAGTTCTTTTTGTTTTCCATAACCAATACTTACAGTATTTTTTCTATTTGCGCTTATTCTAGTGACACTCTCTCCTTCGAGATGGAATATTCCAGAAATGATTTTTCACTGCTGTTCACTATTTACATTATTCGGACTATTGTCCTCATCTTTGGTACCATATGTTGTTCACTCCTGTTGTGTACACGCTTTTTTTCATGCCATCTTGAGAACATACAATATTTTCTATATCGTCTCTTTCCAATGACTTGTTCTGTGGTTCTTTTGAAAAATAGCACTAGCCATTTTTATTCTATACGAAATTCTTGTCCATCTCAATAAGCCTATCTGTGTATTGATTGTTGTCAATTCTTTGAAGTGGTTATCTATGGATATCTGGTGATAAGCTGTTTTCAAGTCGATCTTTGTAAAGATTTTTATTCCTGCTAATGAATGTAATGCTACAACATTTGGAATCTGGTACAAATCTGAGTAAACTTTATGGTCCACTAGCAGCATGGCCTGGCGTTGCCTGTACTTGATTCAAAAATTGTACGACTCATACAGCAATCGCTATCACTTGACTTAAAATATTTTTGCCCTTTCTTGCCTTTAAAGGAGTGCCCTTTGCTGTGCTGATGTTGCTACATGCCTTACTTCTTGCCTATCTCACACTGCAAATTTTTTTCTAAGCTCTATACTAAACATTAAATCTGTTATGAAAAAAGAACTAAACAAAATGAACACAAAACGATCAGCTTTAAAAAAGGACTCAGAACGGAAAAACCGAATGAAAAAAAAGAATGTTAACAACAAATACTTTTTTCACACCCAAACCAGTTCTCTGGAATCAGAATCAACGTTGAGTTTAAGCAAGCGAATGAGCCAATTGGAGTAAAGTGCCATGCAGATTTAAATTTTTCCCACTTGTGACAAATGCAGTTATCGATTTTTTTTTTTTTGCATGCTAGCATGCTAGTTAACATTTGTGTCAGTCAGCTGTTGGCTCTCACACTGACCAATAGAATCTTGCCTATTTGTGGCAGCCAGCTATAGCCTCTCACTCTGGCCAGTAGAAAATGGCCGCAAACTATATGAAAATTGCCGTAGAAGCATGAAAAAATTGATTATTTCCACTATCGATGGGAGTTGGGAAATTCAAAGTCGGTCTTGGCTTTCCCGCTAACTTGGAGCATGTGCATGTAAATTTTGGTGCAAATCCATCGAAAATTGCGGCCGTGCATTCGTCATACACACGCTTACTGCCATTTATATATAGATTCTCATTTTATAATCACCTCTTATTCAAAGGTTTCTGTCTGCCTTTCTCACAACTTCCATAGACAATGCCCATTTGCACTGCCACCAGGTGGAACATATTCAAAAAGGCCTTGTGTCACTAATTTTCTTAGTTTTACCATTACTAAATGGAACAACTGTACCGACAATTTCCTTGCTTGGTAAGAGGAAAAGGTGACATTTACTTTCAACTTGAGACATGCCTTATAATTTTTTTAGCATGCAAGTTTCTTTAGTATTAATTAATTATTGTGGAATTAAATGTGTGTTCATCCTGAGTATAATGATAAAATACACACAAAAGCCAGGCCTCTGATCAGGAGAGTGGAGATTTTGAGGCGAGTGAAAACATCTCTTAATTACTGTTGTTCACAGGTCTACCATGACCTGGTGTGGTAGCACCTGTTAGGGTCCCAGCTATGGGCAAATAGTTAAACCCCCAAACTGGAGTGAAAACACTATGAAAGTATAAACATTTTTAATTGTAAAAATAACAGCAATACATTTTTGTAAAATATATTAATACTCCCAAGAAAATTAAATTTCGGCATTAAATGACCCATAAGGTGTTGATATGCTGCTAAACAAACAAACAAATCTCCATTTGATGTTTTGTAATTCTGCTATTCTTGAAAACAAGATGACTAGGAAAAATGTTGGAGCATCTGGTTCCCATACTTTCTTTTAAAAATGAATTCTTTATATAGTTGCTTGAGATGAATCTTTATTTTTTTTTATTTTCAAGCAGAGATAACTTTATGAAATCCATTGAAAATAGTTTTTTTTCTTTTTCTCTTGTAGGATTTTTACATTTTTGCCAGTTGTTTGTTTAACAGTTTGCAGTTCTAGATTCCCTTTATCTATTTTACATCTTATATCTTTTATATTTTTTAGTGATTTTACAATCAAAATAGTAGATGTGGCAAGCCTCAGCTCAAAGACATTAACAGGTCATGAAGCTCCTGTTCTAAGTGTTGCATTACATCCTAAGGAACTGTTTGTGGTAAGTTAACATTTCATTTTTCATATTTTTTTTTTATTTCCAATAAGATCTTCCAATTAGTGCATGAATTAATTACATGAAACTTAAAAGAAAGATAATGAAAAAATGAGAAAAATAGCAGTGAATTACTGAAACCTCCTGAAGAGTGGACTGAACAATTTCAAAAAGGGTTTGTTTAATCTTTTACCACACTAATTTCTTTCTAGAATTGTTCCCCCCTGGCACTGCATTTTTTTTTTTTTTTTTTTTGAGGGTGCAAAAATATGAGCACCTGCTGTTTTAAAATTGTTATAACTTTCTTTGTATTGTTTGTATAGATTTTATTTCTTGTCTACTAATCAAAGAATGGATGAGTAATATTTTGATGTAATGCATTACATTTTGCATGCATATTTTGACAATGAAAACAAAAAATTGAAATGCAAAATAAAAAACAAATACATTAAAAAAAAAAATTAAAACTCCTGAATAAATGCTTCATTTGATATTGACACAGCAATTTTTGTTTACAAAAAAAAAAAACGAAAAAATTAACGTGGGTTTAATCGGTGTCATACCGCATGTAGAGTATAGAAGAATTCAAAATAGGGTTGGAAAACGGAAAAAGTGAGTGTAAATATAATTAGTATAGACATTGATGTCAACACTGAGTGACAATGGTTTGTTTTATAATTTTCAGGCCATGTGTGTTGGTCTGAAGCTCAACTATTTATATATGTTAGTCATTGTTATTTCTGGTTTGTGTTATTCTAACAGCTATTGAATAAGTGGAAAGCAATTATTTTAAATTGTTAGTGGCTATTGAAAAGAACTAATTATAGGCCAGAAAGCAATTATTTTGTAGTTATTGTATTGGGTTATTTACATTATTCAAACTGTTATACTCATCTTCATTGTGATATTCACAATGTTTTGGCTGTTGTATGCTCCAGCCTTCTTCAAGTGATTGGTATTTTGAACCAAACCCTTTATTTTGTCCACCAGGGTAGATTGTTCTAGTTCCACATGCCATACCTTTTCCGGATGCCTCAGTTATTTCCCTTGAACTCAACTCTCCAAGATTTTGGTTCACCACTGCTGTAACCTGGTATTGAACTCACAACTCTATGGATTTAGTCACTGGATCTAACCAATGTCTTTATCCTCAAGGTTGCATGATCCAGAACCAAAAAAAACTTCAAGAGTTGAGTTAAAGGGAAATAACTGGGATATCCAGCAGAGGCATAGCATGTGGAACTAGAACAATGTACCTTGGTGGACGAAATAAAGGGTTCAGTTTGAAATTCCAATCACCTGAAGAAGGCTGGAGTGTACAACAGCTGAAATGTGAATATGTCAATGAAGATGAGGATAACAATCTGAATAATGTGAATAATCATAATACCTCATTTCAGAGATATAGACTGATATTGTATTGGGTTGTTTCTTAACTTTTAAATTACTTTTATTTATTTACTTATGATTATGTGTGTATATGTGCGTTTTATCATTTTTTCTTTTCTTTATTTTATTTTATTTATTTTTTGGCAAGGGTTTCTTATTTTTTTTTGTTTTTTAATGTATTACTATTTGGGTCTATTTTTTTTTAAGTATATTAGTATATTTTTCTTTTTCTTAGTGACGTGACAACTAGTTTTTTAGTTTTCAATTTTTAAGGTATGCTGTAAAAATCGGTATTTATCTCTGCATTTTTAGATCTTTTTCTGATAGTTTGTTTTTCTGCGAAGGCTAATGTTGATATTTTCTCCCATGCAAATTTTACAGTTTTCAGAGTTATTATTGTTGACTGGTGCTCTTTTCCTTATTTTTCATATTTGTAGTGAGTTTTGTTTTGGAGTTATGTGTATGTTTAGAGAGTTGTACTGTTCTTGTATTTAGTGTTGTTAAAAGATGTTTTGTTTGTAGTTTCCAGGCTCCTTCAGTTACTTCTACATATTTTTTCTTTGTTATCTGCTGTATTTACAGTGGCTTGGTATATTATATTGCTTTTCAAGTAATTGCTGTTTAGGGGACATTCATACTTTACTCTGTAGTTACAGGTGCGTTTGGTTGGTTATTTTTCTGTTGTGCTTTTTTATTATTTGTGTTCTTGGAGTAACTGTAGCAGATTTTTAATGTAGCTGATTTCTGTTGCACTGAGAACATTACATAGTATTTTGAAAAAAATATTTTCTATATTTTATTGATATCTGTCCATTTTTATGAAAGTAAGAAAGAATTTTTTCTTAATTGCTTGTCAGAAAAAAATTCTGAGAGAATGGGAATCTAGTTTCTTTATTAAAGTAATCCCTTCTTGCAGAAAACCCATAACCTGTTTAGACTTTTAAAAATAAGTGTAAATCAAATAAAACAATAGCAGTAGCAAAATTCATATAGAATACAGCAAGCTAATGCCAGCATTGGGGATAAGTGTTTGGTTTGTTTAATGGCATATCAACACCCTATGGGTCATTTAATGCTGAAATTTAATTTTCTTGAGAGTTTTGGTTTTTTTACTATTAAAATCTATTGCTAGAATTTTTTTGCTATTAAAATCTATTGCTAGAATTTCTTTTGCTATTAAAATCTATTGCTAGAATTTTTTTTTGCTATTAAAATCTATTGCTGGAAAATTTTACAAAAAAATTGGAGATGGGATTCCAGTCAGAAGTGAGCTTTTGAAGAAACAAAGAAAATGCTGTGTTCTGCACACCATCTAACTCATTTTGACCCATCCAAGCCCATTCTGGTATAAGTGGACGCTTCTCCCTATGGACTTGGAGCTGTAATGGCTCATACAATGGAAAATGGAAGTGAGAAGCTGATATGCTACATTTCACAAATGTTTTCTGATGCCAAATGGAATTATGCTCATATTGAAATGTAAGGATTGGCCCTGTTTTTTGCTGTGAAAAAGCTGCAGCAATATTTGTATGGGAATTTTTTCACAATATTTAATGACCACAAGTCGTTGAGACTGCTCAGAAAATACAAACCCATTCCCCTTCTTGCTGTTGTCAGGGTTCAATGCTGGGCTCTCTCCTTAGTATCATACAACTATAAGTTGAAGTACTGTGCTGGGTCTTTTGATGGAAATACAGATGGTCTTAGTCGTCTCCCACTAAGTGCACAAGAACAGGATTTTTCTCCATCCGCAAATCTGGTACTATGTGATTTAAACAAAAATTGGGTAGTAGGAAAAATAAATTTCCACCCGAATCTGTTCCCGCTGACAGCTAATGTGAGAACTGGAACAATGCTTCGCTCGGGACTGTTTCCTGCACACCGTAAGCAGCAATATTATCACTCTTTCTCTGGAACATGGGTATAATCTTCACCAGTCTCAAAGAACCAACTGCCCTTAAACAAAAAATCAGCTCTTTTTATCCTTCTTCAGTCTTGGGCAAGAAACCAAGATCTCTCACTTGTGTTAGCCTCGTTCTCGCTGATAACACATGTGTGGTGTTACTTCAATATTGATTTGTCAGAGTTTGCCTTGCATGTCCATGGTGTCTACAAGCACATGTACAGACAATTTGGCAAGGTATATCTCCACCACACTCCCCCCCGATCCATCATCACATATGATGAACCTAGTTGACGCTTCGGTGACTGTGGCAGCGTGAGATCAGAAATGAGGTGAGACCCCATTTTGAGCCAGGTGTACGAGTATACAATGAAGGGCTGGAGCAGTTACACTTTGAAATATTGAATTCTTATTTCAACAAACAAGAGGAGTTGACGTGTGAGGATGGTGCAATATTATGGGGAAGCAGGGTTGTTATCCTACCTAAATTAATATTGAAGGTGCTGCAGCAGCTCCATCAGACACACATAGGGATTGTGTACATGAAGGCCCTTGCTCGAAATGATGTGTAGTGGCCAAATTTAGACATGGTCATTGAGAGGGCCTGCACAGCTTGTGAGACCTTTATGCTTGATCAAAACAACTCTAGCAAAGCTCCCATTCATTGCTGGGAATATTCAAGTCAGCCTTGGGAGAGAATTCACATAGATTATGCTGGTCCATGTTTGAAACACATGTTTTTGGCTGTTTTGGATACTTACTCAAAATAGATAGAGGTATGTGTAATGAAAACATTTACTGCTCCAGCCACAATTGAGAAGCAATCTTTGCAACACATTGGCTGCCTGTGTTGGTGGTGACTGATAATGGTTCATGTTTTACTAGCCAATACTTTAAAATGTTCATGAAAGTCAATGGAATTCAACACCTTTTCATAGCTCCCTATCACCCATCCTCAAATAGGCAGACGGAGTGCAGTGTGCTCACATTCAAGGAAGCACTAAAAAACATGGAGGCAGACAGGAAGACAACACTTGAAACGAAGGTAAACAGATCCTTATTTAACTTTAGAATAACTCCCCACTCAGCAACTTTGGTTCCTCCAGCTGAATTGATCTTCAAGTGGCGATTAAGAACTTCCTTTCATTTAATGAAGCCTGACATTTATAGTTTTACAAATGCAAAATGAAACTGGGAACTAAAGTCATGAACCCATCAGCTATCAAGAATTCAAAATTTGACGATCCTGTTCTGGTACGGATTTAGATCTGATCGACGGTGGATAGAATGCACCATTGCCAGACAATTGGGAGCAGTGAATTTTGAAGTGGAGGCAAGAGGTGGGTTGGTGAGGAGACATGTGGACCAACTTCTGAAACTTCCACCCAGGATTGCAGAGGAGGGTGATACCTGATGTCCAGGCAGACATAACTACAAATAATCCTGGAATTTTTGTTGTTCCTGAAACTCCTGAAGAAATCATGGAACTGGATGGCACACATATGGAAGATGCTGTAGTGGCTCCTGTGGAGACTGGGAGGCCCACGACACCTCCAGTTCATACATTGGGTCGCACATACAGGCCCCCAATTAAGTTGATTATATCTGTAGACCCAAGCAAGATTGGAGGGATGTTATATATTGAACTGAAATGTGGAGTTGTATCTCTTCATCTCAAGTGACCCAACGTGTTGAGTTATCTGTCCTTTACCCCCAGGGAGCATCTTTTCATGGTCAGTCAGTTATATGCCATGGGTGATATCTTTCAATACATGACTGACGAAGCAGATTTTTTCCCTCAGTAGGTTGCCATTTCTTTTTGTGGTAGACGAGTTGCCATCCAAGGCTATAGAACCCGTTCTGTCCTGCTATTTACTCATATTTGGGGGAAGAAGAAGAGGATTCATACGTTTCTCAAGGGTTTTAGGTACCTATGAATAAAAGAGGCAGTGACAAACGGCCACCCTATTGGAGAACACACATTTATGCTCTCTTAAGTAAATTCTGTCTTTTGTGGTCTTTATCAGTAAATAAAATTTCTGAGTTTAGGCAGAGAGCTCAGAAGTATAGAGTTGAAGTAGACTTTAGAAGGAACTGGAAATCCAATCCTAAACTGGAAACAAGGAATAAACCTCTACTCCTGTTCAAAAGACCAAGAAGGAATGTGAACCAGGTGATGGATAAAACTAAAACTATTTTTCCAAACTTTGCTATTATTATTTTTCTTGCATGAATCTTTTTCTGTCCATGTTAATCAGTTTTACTTGATTTAATATTTTCGGCCTTATTTTTTAATAAATAGTTGGAGTAAGGTATAATATTGAAAACGAGTATTGTTTATCCTTTTCAGGCATCTTCAAGTTCTGATGGCACATTTAGAATTTGGTCAATAACAACACAATCTTGTCTGAAAATCTGGCAGGGGCTGGAAAAGTGCAGTGACATCAGGTATGCCTTTGACTAAACAATGACCCCCCCACCACCTTTTAAAAAAAAAAAAAAAACTTTTTGTTTAACTTTTGTTTGTGTGTGAAACTCTGTATTCTCTGAGGATAGGAATTATGCAAATGATTTATTGTGCATCTTCTATGTGTCATGACTATTCGGGGCATTAGTAATCATGGCATGTGAAACATGGAATATCATTCTCATTCATATCTCTATAGCAGCTTTTCTCAACCGGTGCATCCAGGTGCACTAATGCATCCTGAAAGGTAGCCAGGTGTACACCAAGTTAACAGAAGAGTAATTTATGAATTATTTTTATATTTAAAAAAATTGTTATTTTTTTAAAAAAAAAAAAAAAAAAAAAAAAAAAGCTAGAGACACCAAGCACACTGGCTTCCATGTCTAAGTCAATTTTTTGTCATTTGATATTTCAAACTGAATACTAATTTAAAATTTCATGATTCATGATTAATTTTTCCTTATTAAAATTTAAAGTGTGCACCAAAGTTTTATTTATTCTACAAGTGTGTCCTGAAGTAAAAATAGTTGAGTCAACTACTGTAAGGAGTTGACTGTAGTTAGGATCATCAAGCCAATATGAACAATCCTTTTCTTAGCTGCATAAATATGTGCTTAGCCAGAGCTACATACAGCTTTGAATTCAAAGTTTTCCTTCTAGACTGGTTGACACCCCAGGCTATAGAACCCAGTCTGTCCTGCTATTTACATATAGCTGGGGGGGGGGGAGAAGTGTTGGATTCATACCTTTCCCAAGTAAGTGAAAGTAAGGAACTCTAGTGGAATTCAAACTCAGCTCTCTCTCATTCCACATTATTCTACCATGTCTTCAGACTGTAAAACTTCATGCTATAGTTGGTCTTGTCCCAAAAGTACCTTTTCAGGTTGTTGACTTATTTTCCTCCATCTGGATTAATTTACCTCTTTTTGTTTGGTTTAAATATGGCTGCATTGTTGGAATTTGAGAATTAAAGAATATAATGATTTATTTGCATGACACCTATTGGTAAAAACCTTTCTGAGTAAACTGGTAAAGGTGCTCTTACAATAAACAGGTTTCCAAGGGTAAGGGATATGAGCTGGATATTTATTCTTTATTTCAAATCCTTGTATATTTATTAAATGAGCTTTGAATAAATGATCTCCAAATGAGCTTTGAATAAATGATCTCCAAATTTGATGTAAAGCAACAGGAATAAAATGAAAGAATGCTAGTCAAAAATTGATGACAACATTTCATGTAAGAACTTCAAATCCTATTGCATAAATATAATCAAGTTATCAAGAAGCATTTAAAGTTGACACATAATTAAGTGTTAAAATGCTGAGATTCAATGTCATCTGATCTTCAGATGCAGATGAATGTTAGAAAATCATGAAAGATGATCAAAATTCTGAGCAGAATTAAGTATGTTGGGTTGATGTGTCAGAAAATGTATTATTCAATTGGTATTCACTTAAGTTGATCTGATAAAATAACTTGGTAAAATATTGGAGCATACATCGGTGGTGTACCTAAAATTATTTTCTTTTTTAAAATTCCTTTTTATACTTCTGTCTAAATTTCTGGGATGAGGAGTTATCATTATTTACATTATTTGGACTATTGTCCTCATCTTCCTATGGGACAATAGCCTAATGCATTAAAGTGTAGGTTCATAAATTAAGTGACATAATATTATAAAGCTCATATAAGCTCATATTTTCTGGTTAATAATATTGTAAGGAAATACTGGAACAAAAGATTGGTGATAGAAAGGTTTAATCATATGAGAGACATGGATTAATGATACAATAATAACAAATACTGTAGTTTCTATAAGCAGAAATTCTACTTATAGAAAATAGATGAATCTATATTCAATAATTAGTGTAGAAAAAGTCAGTTGTCTTTCTGCACATCACCCCACTCCCACCCCCTTTAAGATATGCACTCTCTTTTGAATACATATTTTCTTCCTTTGAGGTTCACTTGCAACACTTCCCTTGGATTTTTTAAATTTTACTAACACAATACTTAGAATTGGCAAGTTAAAAGTGCTGTACAGCATGCCCATAGATAAATCTCTTTGTTGGAGTTTTATTTCCTTAGCATATCTTGGTCTTAATTGGTTTAAATACCTTTTATGTGGCTAATTTTAACCTTGCACCATATACATCATCCTGCCAATGCAATTTACTATGTCATCATCTTCCCAACTTTCCTTTCTTGATTTGTAAATCCCAAAGAAAACCTTATCTCTAGCTCTGAAAGATTTTATAGTTAATTTTGTACTATGACAGCTTTTTATTTTTCTTCCAGGTTCCATTTGTCAAACACCGATTTAATTTTCCAAGCAAACATTAGTCTCGTTCATGATGTAGTTAGTATTAGGGTTAGGGGCCAGTCTATAAATTTTAAAAAACTGTTGGTGCATTACTTCTATCTCCCTTTGTTAGTTTGCACGACCATTATGTCTTGCCAATACCCCATAAGTAATAGACTATTCTCTTTTGATCTCATGGAAAGAGGATAAAAGACATTACTTGGTTTCAGTGAGAAAATAAAAGGAGGAGGATAGAAGTGTTTAACAACTGTTTCAGTAAAATGGAAAAAGTTATCAGTTTCTAATCTTTTCATTTGTACCCACTCACTTCTTAAAATAACGACCATAATCCATATTTATGATTGTTATTGCAATATTTTGTTAAAATAGTTAAGTACAAATATTTAAAAATGCAATAGGGTAATTTCAATGGATATTTTATTGTCTTGAAACTCGCCATAAACTTATTTAATCATTAACTTAAGAATTAAGATCCATCAGAATATTAAAGCAGGAACACCATGAAATTTTCACATGTTAAAACTAGTGAAATATAAACGCCTAAATTAAAATATATAAAAGCTGAAATTTGAATTTTTTCTCCTTATTTTTCAGTTTGGTAAAATCCCTGTGTCGTTTATGCTTTGACCAAAATGGAAATGTAAGTTCAATTCATCATTTTTTTGAGAAAATAGCCAAGTGCCTAATTTTCATTTCTTTTTATTCAATTATCAATATAGGGACAGATATGTGGGTAGCATAGTAGTTAATGGCCTGGAGAGTTGAATTGGGGAGTTTAGTTAAAATTTCAGCCATGTCAGCTGTGTTCAAATGCCCTCAGAAAAGGCATAAATCCATCTCTCCTCCATCCCAGCTATGGGATAAATAGCAGGGCAGACTAAGCTCTGTAGTCTTGAGTGGCAATGGTGATATTATAGACACCCACATAGAAAAAGAAGAGGTGGTTTTATTTCAATCTCAAATGTTTCTGTTTGATAGACTGGCAACAAAGTTTAGTTTACTAAGTGGCATTCACTTTAGTTGAGGGAGATTGAGAAGTAAAAAGGATTTTTGTGGTAATAAAACTGGAAATAGGTTATATCTTAGTGCTGGTCTATGTTAACAGTCATGCTTGTAATTGGAGATATGGTGGGAGATGGACATGTCTGTCAATCAGATCCAAAGCCTCCATTTCATATTGCCAGCCACCACATCAGGATGAATAGATGGGTGAGGAGATGGTAGAGGGAAGAGCTGGCAGCAGAAGTTGTCCAAAGTATCACCCACCTGCCCACCCAAATGAGCAGGCAAAGCGCTGAATAAAACTCCTACATATAATATGCTAAACAGGGTTCACTTTCTTATTTCTTGATGTGGTGTTTTCTTTTTCATTGTGAGCATGCAGCAGGCCCTTTCATAGCTTTCAGTGTACACCGATGAGATCAATGATTGAAATACAACTTGGAGTAATCATTGGCTAGTGGGAATCTTGAGTGAGGGTGGTGCTGTATGTTTACAGCAACCAATCTATGAGATGGACAGAATTGAATTCTAAACTATGGAGTAGGCAGTGAGAAACCATTTCTCTTCCTAGGAAGTCATGCCAATTCACAAATAATTAAAAAAAATGGAATCTGTGGAGAGCCATTATTGCTTACATCCTGGAGAGACATGACATTAAAAAAATATACAGGAACAAATCTAAATGCTTTTAGAAAATAAAAAAAAAGTTTTCCCTAAAATACTATTTGTTTTAATGCTTTAACTGTCATCAGAAACATTCATAATTACCATATATTTCTGAATGAGGCAACCTTTAGGTAAAAAATAATATAGCAAACTTTCATGAATTTATCCTATACCTGGAGTATAAGACGATTGCTTATTGATTATTGGAAATGTTGTTACTTATTGTATTCTTAGAAATTCAAAGTAACTGAAATAACAAAACCGATTTTATATATTTTTCCTAAAGGGAAACCATTGTTTTCTTTATGTTTTATCACGTGATCTCTTATGAATACAGATTCTTCTTCCTCCTCTTCTTTACCTATGTCTAAACAATTACAAACAGCCTGGTGTACTAATGGCCATTTACTTATACTTCATCGTCAATCACAAAATACCGCTAATAATAGCATGCTAATGTACAATAATAGTACATTCCAATGCAATCATAACTCAATGTTTATATTTTCTCAGCTGAGCTTGAATGGATACAAGTTGATTTCATTGATGCAGAATTATTCTTCAAATAGGCAAATTATTATGAAGTTATGCCATTTATATATAAGTAGAAATGGTTTTATTATTTTTATTATCAGTTTATTTGATAATGTGAATCTTTTCATGTAAATTATTGATTATTGTATCGACAAGCATCACTCAGAATTTAAGGTTTCTTTTTCAGAAATGTAGTATAAGATGACCCCCAATTTTTAAGGGTGATTTTTGAGATTTAAAGGACGTGTTCTATGCAGAAATATACAGTAATTCAAAATGTAGAAGGGAAAATGGCTTACTTTCTGGAACAAAATGCACTCGTACATATCTTGTGAGCAAAATACTTGGAAGAAAACATGGCTGATCCAAAAGCTACAATTTAAGAAAAACCTGATCTTGTAGCTCAGAGAATTCGCAAGCTTCAGCCACTTGATAAAATGAAAATGAGCAAGAGAACAGGAGAGGGGCAGCAGAGGTTGAGGAATCAAGAGGTTGAGGAATCAAGAGGTTGAGGAATCAAGAGGTTGAGGAATCAAGAGGTTGAGGAATCAAGAGGTTGAGGAATCAAGAGGTTGAGGAATCAAGAGGTTGAGGAATCAAGTGGTTGAGCTTTGGGTGTGGAGTTTTGTGGTACTCTTAGCATTTGTAAAAAGACAGGATATAAACAGATGTACCTTTTTTGCAACAATTATTTTCTAAAAGGATTTAAAAAAAAATTTTTTTTTTTTTATCATTTCACCCAAAGCAAAGGCAATAAAGCCACCAAGGCTATTGAGTGTTAGAGAACATGAGAAATAAAACCACTTAAGGAGAGAGAACAGCAAAAAGAACCAAGAAGACAGTGATTAACATTACCTTTAAACCCTTGAAGATCAAAGCTGACTGGAAAGCAAGAAGCCGGAAGAGAACCCCACAAGTGAGAAGTGTAATGGAAGAAACCATTAGCACAGATTATTGTTTTCCATTATATTTTGTTATTAGTAAATATATAAACATGTCATCAAATTAAATGATCAAGTGTGATAATGTTGAAATGTTATGTTTTTGGTTTCTGTATCCATTTTCAACTGAACTAACTTTGTATGGAAAGGTCGGCTTCACATTTAACTGCCATAAATATCAAAGGTTAAGTTGAAAAGTTGGGGTAAGTTATAAAGTGTGAGAATTAGGTTAGCCAGAAAGTTCTGACTCACTCAGGAAGCTGAAAGAAAATAACAAAATTTTATCGAGCAACACCAGCATTTATCCTTCAAAATAAAAGAACATCATTCTTGACGATCTTCTGTCAGCGATCAACCAGCATCCAAATCTGTCTCAAATACCAGTCTGCTGGATTTAAATAAAAAAAAATTATAAACAAGTTTCCGTCACTTCATCAAAAGTGTTGAATCACTGGTCATGGAGGAATTGTGCCATTGAGTGGAATAGGCCAGTCACTTGGAGGAGCATTGGGACTGAATGGTGCATATGGAAGAATTTCAACATTGTCCATCTGTTTAAAATCCTGCTTAATAAACCTGGCAGTGTGTGGCATTCACTTTGTCCTACTGAAACAAAGCCCGACCTTGATTAAGCAAATTGGGATATGTATTCTTTAGTTTGTCGCATACACAGTATAGCTGATGGCAATACAGTTTAGAATTGATGGTATAACCATGTAGAACAAGTTCAAAATGCAGTACTCTTTGGAAATTCCACCAGACAAAGATCAAGATTTGATGGGTTTTTTTTCTGCTTCTTAAGTGAGTCAGGACTTTCTGGCCAACCTAACAGATATACTTTCAGTTTGTTTTTAATTATTTTTTTAACACTAGTAATTGATTGAATTTGATTGATCTATATAAATTTTCACAGTCATCAAATTTGATCCATAACAAGTTTCAAATGATTTTAAATGGTTGATTCTGAAGTACTTTGTCATTGTCTGTTTAATATTTCTCTTTTTATGTTAACTGTTATGAAATGGGATTTTCTTTATCATATGAGCTCACTATCTATATATGATAATTTATTATTGATCTTTGCCAAATGCTCTAATATTGTAGCCCTGTGCCAGGCTAAATCTAGCTTAAGTCTCTCTCTCATACTCTTGATTTTGTTCTTTCTCTCTCACTCTATTTTTGTTGATGGCTGAGTTGACTTTAGTGATGTCATTTATATTTCAACCAATGGTGGACTGAAAAGTTCATAGGCTGACTTTGAAGGAGTGATGCTATGAAATCTTGCGTGCATTAATTTCAACTCTTCTTCTTAGATTTAGATATCTGACTGTTCAAAGAAGACTTAAAAAAGAACAAATAGCAAATTCTCTTGAAAATGGACAAAATTTGGCATCATGCTTCAAATGCTGCAGGGAAGATGATGGCCTCAGTTTCTTAGGATCTGAAAGGCATTGTGCTTTATTGACTGTCTTTAAAAGAGCCATACCATCAATAGTGCACTATGCCATCTTGCCGAGGCAATTACGAAAGGCTATCAAGACTAAATACCCAGGAAAAATAATGAAGGGGTCTTGTTTTATCAGGACAATGCTCCAGCACACAAGTCATTGGTTTTAATGGCTGCTGTGTGTGACTGTGGCTCTGAACTGGTTGATCACCTTCCCTATTTTCCTGATTTGACTATCATCTGTTCCCCAACATGAAAAAACACTTGGCTGGAACCAGTATTGTAATGATGATGACATAACTTCTGTTGATGACTTTTTTGACCAACAGTCAGTTGTCAGTTTACCTGGAAATAATTAATGCAATTATTAATGAAGAGTTGAAATTAATGCATGCAAGATTTCACAGCTCTAACGTCACTCCTTCATAGTCAGCCTATGAACATTTCAGCCCACCCTCATATACTGTTGTCTGTAAACAAAGCAGTGTCTTTTATTATTAATTTTTTTTATGTAATTATCAAATTTTAAAGAGAAAAACATGCTCCTCTTGTTAATAAATAATGTTGCACACAAAAAAAAATAACTATTTACACTATTTGCTTTTGGACTATTGTCTTCATCTGTTGTTGTCATCACAACGTTTTGGCTGTCATGTCTTTCAGCCTTCATCTGGTGTATATTGATCCAGGTAATTTTTTTTAATTTTATTTTTTATCATTTCACTCCCAAGCAAGGGGTTACTGGGTGTAAAAGAAAATGAGAAGACTTTAGGTGAAGGAACCGGAAACTCAATCCTAAACAGGAAATGAGGGATAAACCTTCTACTCCTGTTCAAAAAAACAGGAAAGGAGTATGAACCGAACAATAGGCGAACATATCTTCTACTTACAGGGAATACTTAACTGAACCTTTTATTTAATCTATGTTCTCGTTCCATTGCCCATATCTAAGGATATCTCGTCTAATTTTTATTTTTAGTAATGCTCAGATATTGTTTATCCTGTTTCCACTGAGTCTGAGTACACAATGAACAGGGAGAATACTGGAAAGTTAGATGTCTGAAAGAATCAGTGTATATGCTAGGCTATGAGGACCCCCTTAGGCCTAGCATAGAAATAAATGCAATATAGGAGCTGTTAATAAAGAAAGACAAAGGAGCAGCTGTAACAAAAAGAGAAAAACTTTAGTATCTGTCTATATTTCTGAGATGAGGTATTATGTACACTATTTACATTGTTCAGACTATCATCCTCATCTTTGTTGCCATATTTATTGCAATGTTTCATACGTTGTACACTATGGCCTTCTTCAGGTGGTTAGAATGTTGAACTGAACCCTTTATTTTGCTCGCTGGGTTAGACTGTTCTAGTTCCACATGCCATGTCTAATGGATGCCAGTTATCTTCTGTTAATTCCCCTCTGAAAGTTCTCCACCACCTTAACCGGATATTGAACTCACACTCTTTGGGTCCTGTCACTGGATTTAACTAACACCTTTATCCACTGTGCTATGTCTCCTTGAGGACACTTTAGTAAGTGCAGTTAAGCATGACAAGCAGCAGCAGCACTCATCAGCAGGCAAGTTAGGTTTAAGGCTCCATGTTCTCCACAGAAAATTGTCCTACAGGACAATAGCCTAGACGTTTAAAATGTTGGTTTTGTGAATTAAATTCATCAGAAAACCCAATATTTTATATTTACTCTGAATGTTTCTATTATACTCCACTGCAATTAGATTGATTTCTGATTCACTCTACATGTGTGCCAGATGTGAGCTGCAAAAAAAAATAAAAACATAAAATGAAAAATTAATTTTCTGTGCATGGGCTCTGGTCCACAAAAGAAATCCCCACAATAACAATAATACAATAAACAATCATGAATGTTCTCACTGGAAAAAAGATGACCTTGGGGATATTTGCTTAAAAGAAAGCTCCTTATAATGACCAACACAGTTCTGGATCACATGTCCGCATGCAGACATGCTGTTGCCATCACTGCCATGATTGCCCCTCACTGTCATCACCCCTCAACACCTTAACTATCTACTCCAGGCCTCTCTTGCTGTCACCACCAGGACCCTGTCTTATTGATACCACATTCGACCAGAATCCAACAGAGACCTTCCATTCCATCAACATTCATCATCTACACCTAATTCTTTGTCACCCCCACCATAACCTTGGCAACCAATATGCGCCTTACTGCGAATCAACCCACCACAATGACCTTGGTCAGCCAACCCGTCAACCAGTTTGGCTTCAACATCTCCCCATTACACAATCACTACCAGCCCATAACACCATCACAGGTGTTGATTTCAACCTTAAAGAAAGGTGTACGTCAAACCCCACCAATGGCTAATCCATGCTGAATCTATCCCCTGATCACAAACGTGACCATGACCAAACGACCCAACAAATTTGTCAACTCCTGGCCCTACGGGCAACTGTCTTACACCCAGTTGCTTACCTGACCAACAGCAACTGAAGAACAATTTTTTTTTTTTAAATTATCATCACCCCAAGCAAGGAAGTAAAGCCACTAAGACGCAAGAGGTTACAGGCTGTGGAGGAATTAGGAGCAGAACCATTAGTAATGAGGAGAAAGAGAAAAGTGCAATCAGAAGGACAGTAGATGGTGATTGACATTGCATTTAAATTTTTGCAGATTAAAGTTGTCTAGAAAGCATGAAACCAGAAGGGAGTTCTACAAATGAGAAGTGCAAGAAAAGAAACTGTCAGAATAGAATTTATGGCTTACATCTAGCTAGATCAAATGTAAATTGTTGAGACTTTGCTACCAGTCTAGTACTGTGCTTAAATTCATACAGTCAAGGTACCATAGTGAAGAGGTCATCCAAACAATTACCATGAATACATTTATAAAAAAGGCAAAGAGAGGCAACCTTACAGTGGCGGGTATATTAACAATTTTTGCCAAATTTCAAACAACTATGTATATATTATGTATATTTAACAAATAAATGCTGTTGAAAATCTAATCTTTATTTGTTCTTTTCCTTTGCAACTAAACACTTATAACATTTCTTTAACTTGTTTATATTGGGTCTTTTTTTTTTCTTGAAATGAGAAGTTTTACTTTTTTTGTTAATCATTTTATTTTGAATATTGATTTTATTTTTTTTTAAAAATTCATTTTTTTTTCTTTCTAGTTGACATAAAGTAATTGAATGACAAAGTGGAAAAAAATTCTATGTAGTAGATTTTGACCTTTAAAAGGATTTCATCAGTTATCTTGATAAAATTACATACTGTATATACTTAAAATTGCATACTGTATATACTGTTACTTAAAATTATATCCTGTATATACTTGAGTATAGTCCAAGTTTTTATGATCTGTGTTTTACAAAAAAAGATAATAATAATAATAATAATAGCTCACATTATACACATGTAATTTTTTTTTTTTCTTGAAGAGTTTAAATATGCATTTTCAGTGATAGGTTGCACTATAACACAGGTAAGTTTTGTTTTGGAGGGAGTTAAAATTCAAAAAATAATCAGGGGTTGCACTTTACATATTGTCAGCTTATACATGATTATATAATAGTAACAGTATGTATAGTGGGAAGGGGCATATATAAACAGAATTATGCACCAATGGAAAATAATGAAGATGTTGGGATCATAAATTTTAAAATTTCTAGCATTTGATTTGTTGATCTCATTCAATAAAAACATCACTTTAGGTCAGTGGTTCCCAAACTTTTTTCTCTGGGCCGCATTTTCAGAATGAAAATTTGCTTGTGCCTCACCAAATTTTATGTGATAAAAAGTAGATTTAAAAATAAAAAAAACAGGGTTAAAGGGAGATAACCACAAATTTGAAGTTAGAACATTATCATTGATAACTCTCTCCTCCAATTTGCAGACCCTATTTACTATATTCTTAATACTTGACAATGCAAAAATATCACAATGATAAAATCAGTCAATAATTATTTATACTGGGACTCATGCACACAATTACAAATAATCCATAATAATGTTTTAAATTTTGAAATCACATTTATTTTTGGCATATGAAGTTTTTTAAAAAATTTCCGAATCACTGATGGTCTTTCAATCCTTCTGCTTCACCTGCTATCCTCTTCCTTTGCACCTGTCAGGCATGTCACACCATTTGGGATCCACTGTTTTAGTCCAGTGAAGACCTTTTATAAGATGAAACACATTACATAGAATTTTTTTGCTTTGTCATTCAATTACTTTACATTGTTCTGATATATATAAAAAATTTACATATCTCTTTCTTCTGTCATTGAAGTATTTATATATAATAAGTGTATATGTATATTAAATTTTAAATGTTGATCTTTTGAAAATCAAAGCTCATCTATCAACTGACAATTTGATGTCACAGCAAATTTTCTGCCAACAAAATAAGTTGGCTTGCAGAATGTGAGTTAAAAGATGAAATGTAACCATTGGTGTGATTGGTTGGAATTTTAAAAAATCATTTTCGTTTTTGCCAATCAATTGTATGAATAAAGATTAAGTAGAAATGTCAGCACCCTTTTCAAATTTTTGTTTCTTGTCATAACATTTGTATCCGGAGAGAAACTTCACCAACAACTGCTGTCCTCAACTCCAGATAAGGTCAAAAAGGCTTATGTTGTTGATTCTCTAACTGATACTTACGTATAATCTTTTTATTTTCATTTTTTTTTTTAATCTTTCAGAAATTTTGTTGCAATTCTTGTAGTAGTTTGAAATTTTATGATAACCACAATTTCTCTTCTAGAATCTTCTGGTTCCAATAGAGAAAGAAATTATTGTTTATTCAACCAAAAATTGGAATAAAGTTGCAACTCTAACTGAGCCAAATATAAAAGAGGTAAGATCAAATCTTATTTACTAATTTCTGTTTACCATCACTATTATTAGAAATTTATTAAACATTGTTACTAGTTAACAACTGCTGTCAAAAAGAACTTTTTTAAGATTATTTCTTTACAATTATTTATAATTACTCTACTCTTTTGTGAAGTTGGTTTTTACATTTCCTGACTCCATGAACATTTTGTAACAGTCTGCTATTGTAATAATAAAAAAAAAACATTGCTAACTGGATTGCCAATGTAAGGGAGATAACTTTAGTTAAACAAAGCATGCAGGTATTACAAGGAAACATATTGCATTATATAGTAAGATTATTTTTTTTGATCATTATTAAATTAATTTCCATCTAAATTACTTGTATAAAAATTGCTGTATTTGGATCAGAGCTTGGTTGTTATAGTGAAAATATTTTATTTATTTATTTTTTTTATACCTTCCAGCCTTCTTTAGGAGTCTTGTCATATTAGTATACTTTTAAAAATTCTAAATTGAACTTGTAGAGTAATTGACCATGGTTAAATGTAATTAGCAGAAATGCTGAACAAATGGAATTAACAAAGTTTACAATAAACAATAACAAAAAAAAGAAAAGAAAAGGGCAAAAATAATATTGAGTAATAGATGTAAGGCAAAGCAACAGTAATATTGCAAAAAGTTCACAAAATAAGACTTGTATTAACACACAAAACAGATACAGACAAGTGATAACAATGTTCTGACTTCAAAACAAGAAAGAACAGAACTAAGTTGGATGAGACAGATAAGTGGCCTATCTTATTGGCTAGGGAGAAATCCCAGCATGCATCTGTGTGTTTTATCTATAAATTGGAGAGGGGGATGGTTGTGTAGTCTGTTTAGGTGACAGATGGCATAGTTCTCTGGAGTGGTGGGTTCATTTCATGTTTATTTTTTGGTTTTATTTTTTTTTTTTTTACACTTTCCCATCCTATTTTTTCAACCAGTTAACTTGCTTTTTTTGTTGCATTTAGCCCTTGGTAGAGTCCCATACTAACATTTTCATTGTGTCATTTTTCATCTTGTCATGGGATTATTTTTTATTATTTTGTAAATAAAAATCATTTACATATTTTTTTATCTCTCTCTCTCTCTCCACATGCTTGTAAATATGGGGAATTAGTTTAGGATCTCATAGCGAACACATTGTTTTGGTGATTGTGGTATGGATGTATTGTGGTGGGAGGATTTATTGTAATGTATGCTTGGATCAGTAAATGTAACTTGTTAAGTTAGACCAGTGATGAGCAGTCTACCTCATTTTCCCTTTTTGGCCTTGTGCCACACTTGTATTTATATGCAATAAATATTCATTCCACAATGGATTGGGACCAACATAACTGTTCATTCAATAAATGGCTATAGATGCATCTAATTCCACTTGCCACACTAAAAGATAACTTGCATCTGTGAATTCCTAGTTTATCTTTGTAATGTGGTTTTTATTTTTCCCACTGAAACAATATATAAAGTTCACTACTTGACTGAGTTATTGAACTCCTGACGACTTGGTAATTACATGCACTTAACCAAGAAACTTAATGTCTGTTCTTTCCTAATCAAATTTCCAGTAAGTCACTAGACATGACAGACAGCTGAAGAAGTCTGCAGGTTACAATGCTGAAACACTGTGACAACCAAGATGAGGATATTAGTCTCAATAGATCAATGTGAAATCATTTACTGAAATTGTTCTCTCTTGCATGGTGAAAATTAGCTAAGCAAATTAATATATTTATTTATACTTTATCCACAGTGTATATCTGTTTTGTCTTTTGACTCGAAATGGAAAATTTTAGCAGCAACTTGTTATGATGGCTTAATTCTCTTATTTGACTGGGACAACAAAACCTGTATTAAAACGTAAGTACAAGGGGGGAAAATCAATTAGTTAAAGTATTCATTTTCATTTTTAATATATATTACATTGTCACACATGAAAAGATGCACTTTATAGGAAATGAAAAAAACGATTCTAAAATGTTAAATAACTAATTTATTTGGTTGAAATAGGCATCATGTTGATGAATGATTGTTTTTCAACATACCTCGACATTCTTTTAAAAAAATTCTCATCTTTGGATGTTATAAATAGTTCAAATGCTTTGATTAACCCTTCATTGTTGGAGAATGTGTTATTGTACATGAAAACCTCAAAATGCTTAAATAAGTGATAATCAGTAGGAGAGATATCAAGTGAATATGGAGGATGAGACAAAATTTCATAATTGAGGCTATGCAGTTTTTGGACAGTTGATTGAGAAACGTGCAGCCATGCAGCAAAATTAGGCCATCCCTATTCACAAGTCTAGGATGTTTCTTTTTCAATTTTTAGTGCATCCACTCAATTTCTTCAAGGTTGCTGTTATTGTTTTCCTTTGAGGCAAGAATGAATAACCCCTTTGAAAGACCACCATACAGCAACCATTAACTTTTTAGGGTGCAGTAGAGGTTTTGGGTATTGCCTTACTGTTGTCAAAGAGTATCCATTTCTCATCGCATGTAATGATACAATGCAAAAATGATTCTTCCCCCCCCCCGTTTTTATGAGTAATTGTAATAATTTTCATTGTGTTTATGAGTTACAATATATTGAAAGGAAAAATTATCAGGAATATGTCAAGATTTTTTTTATATACTAAGGAAGTTACTTTGTTCGATGACTGAATCAACAACCATCACAAAAATGCATCATTTCATGTGTGACAACCTATCGTGTTGTGTGTGTGTGTGTGGGGGGGTTGTTTTTTTTGGGTTTTTTTATAAATTTTTTTCACAAATTAAATAATTATTTGCATATAACATGCAGAGTGGTTATTTAAATTCATTTATTGGCTTTATATTTATTTTTAAATCTTAATTCAATTTTTTTTTTAAATAACCTTTTAGAAAATACTTAATAACTAATCCTTTAATAAAAAAAAAAGATGTATTATAAAGCAAAATAAATAAATCCAAGTGAAATGATGGTTAAAATAATTGTTTAGTTATTAATATTTTGGTAAACTTTAATGTCTCCCACCCCAACACCACCATTATTTTGTATTACCTTCCCTCCCTTGGCAATGTTTATTTACAAGATTATAAAAATTATGTGAACCAAGCACAATGTGATATTTATTATTTGTCTTTTATAAAAAATAAATGTGAAAAGAAATCTTTTTGTTCAAAAATTTTTTAAAAAGGTTTTAAAAATATGTAAACCATCTCCAATATGATTATTTATATTTATTATTTTATAAAAAATATCAATGAATTGCTTTATGAAAGAAATACCCAGAAAATGCATATTTTCAAAATTTATAATTACAGTTGCTCGTCATTATCAGTTTAAATTTTCATGTTTGACAGACATTTTTTCATAAATTTATGAATAAAAAAAATTTTCATCTTTATTTCTTTATAAATTGATAAATGATAAACATTGCATTGTATTAGTTGTGTCATGTGTGACAAAAGAAATTACATAAAGAGAAGTAAGGGGAAATGACAAAAGACCAACTAAGTTTTATAGTAAACAAAAAGAGGTTTTATTTAAATTATAGCGATTCGGTCACTAGTTAAAAAGGAAAACACACAAAGACTTATCGGCAAGAAGTTAGAAATACTTTAAAATAACTCCAACTGGGAGTTGCTGGGTATTTGTGTTATAGTTTACATGTCAGGTCAGCAAATGGTAGCAAGCAGACTGCTCTGAAGCAGATTTCTACAACAACTGACTTTGTCAGCCAACTCACTTAATTTTGGTGCCAACTAACGAATATGAATACTTAGTTTTGTGATGTTAGATGCTCACTCATAACTTTCATTAGGTCAACAAATGCTCATCACTTCCAAAATGCTTGTTGTAGATGAGACTTTGTAAATGCAGATACTAGTAGTATTAATGTCTTCAAATAATACTTGAACTAATAATACTAATAGTAATTGCTGAATAGTAATTTGTATAATGATCAATATAGAGAAAAAGTATAGTGGATAGTATAGAGAACAGTGATCACTTAGATGTCACGCTAATTCCCATTTATATGTTTCCTTTACAATCATGTGATCTACTTATTTAATAATGGAATCATCCATGTTTGCTCACTGGTGATCTGTGTTCAAACTACAGTGTCTGCAATGACACTTTATTCCTATACAACACTTGGATAAAAGACCTCCACTTGTAAGGTCGTCTGATCACATAAAAGAGTTCTTTAAGACTTTTACTTAAATGGCCTTGAACTTGAACAAGTTTCATTCATAAAAATAGATTCTCTTATTAGTTGGTTCACATTTTTAGATTGTTGTAAATATAAAATTATTGTAAATAAAGAATCTAATAAAAAAATAGTGCTTAATATTTTTTTTTGTAAATTCTCAAAGAACAAAGAAAATGTATAAATTCACCTTGACATGTTTTTGAGTTTTATTAAAATTCTAATCATCACTTTTTAAAACAACAATCATTGTTAATGGTATGAAGGGAGTTAAAATAATAGTGGTGTCAAGGGAAAAACTGTCCTTTTGACACTCCATTCTTTTTTTTATTTTATTTGCAGGCATGAAAGTTAAAGATTGCCAATATTTTTTTCTTTTAGATATAAACATGACAGAGGAATAACCTCCTTTGCCTGGCAACCCCAAAAGAACAATGCCATATTTGCTGATAAACAGGTCATTTTATTACCATTATTATATGAATTAATCAACTTTTAAATTTTGGTAGGCAACTGTTATTCTAATTGAGTGATTGATCTGTTTTTTGTGGCTTATGAAGCCTTTGCAGGTTATTTAAAGCCAGAAAATATTTTTATATTGTAAGAATTTTTGAGAGATAATGATTTTCTTCTTTTTTTTTTTTTTAATTTGCATGTAAATGAATATAACAAATCAAACAGAAATTGGAACTTGGCTCTTTGATTGACACCTGTGCATCCAAGCTTAAAGTACTTGGTATTCACAAGCGGTCACCCATCTCACCAGGCCTGATATTGCTTAACTTCTGTGATAGTACAGGAACCAGTGTTTCAATATGATGTAATGGAATAGCCTGTCACTCCCATGAGTGACTACACTATAGATAGTAACTACCTATAAGTATCTGTAAGTCAATGGACTACAGAGTCTAGCTGCGATACACTATAGATAGTAACTACCTATAAGTATCTGTAAGTCAATGGACTAGAGAGTCTAGCTGCGATCTGTTCCAGCTAAACAGTCGAACTCTCTGCCTTCGGGCAGAGAGGAACCCGGATGAGGCTCAGCCAAAGGGCAGAGTCTTGTTTGGGGAGGTGGACTGCCCCTGAACCTATTTATACGGGTTCAAAAGGGAATATTTTTGGCCAATCCTATGAGCTCGGAGAACCCACATTAAACTGGCCTTGTGCCACATGCAACCCTCGTGGGGGGTTAACTAAATATACTAGCTGCGACCTGTTCTAGCTAAAGTCGAACTCTCTGCCTTCAGGCAGAGAGGAACCCGGATGAGGCTCCGCCAGAGGGCAGTCTCGTTCGGGGAGGTAGACTGCCCCATAACCTGTTTATACGGGTTCAAAAAGGGAATATTTTTGGCCGAGCCTATGGGCTCGGAGAACCCATGTTAAACCGGCCTTGTGCCATATGCAACCCTTGTGGGCGGGTAGGTAAATATTCTAGCATGGATCTGTTGAGTATGACTCAGACTTACACAAGAACTACCGACCTTCCAATAGTAGCACTCACTACTGGATTGACTTGAGACAACCTTGTGCAAAACTTTTACCTTTATTCTTATTGTACTGGTTTTTACAATAAACCTTTACTTATTTTATCCACCTTGTTTTTCAAGTATATATTTCTATTAGCACAGAATATAACACAATATAATGTAACTGTAAGACCTTTTGCTCTAATGATTTCACTTGAACAATTTACAGGATTTACAGCAAAGTCAATTACAATATTTAAAAAAAAAATGTTAAATACTGAATTTTTATAATTAAGCAAAAAAAAAAAATCATTTTTTTGAATTCTTAATGTTCTTGCACATTTTCAATTGAGACATTTTTACTGGCTTCAATTTAGTTTACAATCCTGTTTTATTTTATTTCATTGGTGCTATTTTTAAAAAAATGTTTTTCTATTAATCAAGAGAGATTTGCCAATACCTATAATCTACATTAAGAGCAAATAAAGTTTGTTTTAAGATTTAATTGTGAAAAATTAGTCCTAGGAAATTTAAAAAACAGAAAGTGAACATAGAATTGATTAATATTTGAATAAGTTTTATGACATTTATAGAAATTCTCATTCTCTTTTTTTATCTTCTTCCTAAAAATAGTTGCACATTGAGACAAACACCAATTTTATATGATGAAAATCTAATGAGGAATGATGTGACTTTTTTGCTTTTCTATTACATTCTTTTTCATTAAAAAAAAGAGCTTAATATAGTTAAAAGCTTTATTGAACTTTGGTAACAAAGAACTTTACAAAATAGTCAATTACACTGAAAAATTTTCATTGGAATAAAAACAAAGTTGGGAAAAGGAATTGAATGATATGAAAGCATTTTCATAATGTTTCTTGATAATTTATTCTTTTTATTTATTAATTTTATATATATATATATATATATATATATATATATATATATATATATATATATATATATAATTATGAAATGACTTAGTCCGACAATTAATTTAATATATTTTTTGTTTATACATTATTTTTATAGATACAAATATTTAAGTAAATGCTTTGTTTATAATAAACAGTATTAACAACATTTACTAGCTCGAATGTCAGAAATCTCAAATATATATATATATATATATATATATATATATATATTTATATTTTTTCAATTTTATTATTTTAGGGACAAATTGCTCTTATGGAAGATATTGTACCAAGTGAAGCAAAAGAAGCAGTAAGTTTTTCCTTTTTTGTATTAACCCACTGTATCTTGGCATTGCTATTTACAGATACTTGATGTTGCTTAATTTCAAACTAAATAGTTACTTCAAGCTAAATTTTTAAAGTCATTATTTTTTTCATTGATGGATTTAAATAAATAAGACAGTAGTAGATATTATTTTTTTTACATTTTCATTAATCATAATTAAATGAACATTGACTAAAAAGAAAAAATAATCACAAATATTTTCTTTAACTCTGTGATTGTCTTACCTTATAATCTGGCCATCACAAATACATTGAAATCTTCTCATCACTCAGCACAAGGTGAATCAACCCTTTTTGTTTTTGTTAATAATACGTGTCTTCATAAAATGTCTTGTCCTAAAAAAAATCTTTAAAATTCTCTAAAGACTCTGTAATGTTGTCCGTCTTGAACTGACATCTCAGCATCAATGACTTCCCCATCACCATTATGTAGCTTCCCTGTGCCTTTTCTATAAATATTTTCATGGTAATTGTTCTGATCAGCTTTCCTCTTTGATACCTTGACTTTATGAAATTAAGTGCAATACTAGATTGGCAGCTAGGTCTCATCATTTTACAGTTGAAATGGCAAGAGATATAAGTTCTATGCTGAGTTTCTTCTCTCACGCTTCTCGCTTGTGGAAGTTTCTTCTGGCTTCTTGCTTCCCAGTCAACTTTGATCTTCAAAAATGTAAATACAATGTCAATTGTTATCTTTTGACATCGTAATTCCTGTTCTTTTATTATTCTCACACCTTAATAGTGTTTTTCTTTTTCTCTTCTTTTTCACACACACCTACACACATTTCTTTTTTCACACATGCACACTTCTTTTCCACGCCCACATGCACACTTCTTTTCCATGCGCACATGCACACTTATTTTCTCCCATGCGCACATGCACACTTCTTTTCTTCCATGCAACATGTACACTTCTTTTCTTCTACGCACACACATACACATACACTCTTTTTCTTTCACACACACGCACACATACACATACACTCTTTTTCTTTCACACACACACACACACGCACCACACATTTCCTTTCTTGCACCCACACTTTTTCCTTTCACGTACACACACACTTTTTCCTTTCTTGCACCCAAATTTTTTCCTTTCACGTACACACACACTTTTTTCTTTCATGCGCACCCACACAAACACACTTCTTTCATGCGCACGCACCCACACATGCACACACACCCACACATGCACACACACTTCTTTCTTGCACCCACACATGCACACACACTTCTTTCTTTCTCACACACACACACACACACACACCCTTCTTTTACACTTGTTTTATTGGTTTGCTTGAGGTAAAATGATTAAAAAAACTCTTTTAAAAAGTTATTTTATTGATGCCATGTTGTTAGTATTCAATAATGTAAGAAATATATATATTTGTCAGGCACCATCAGAATCAGAAAATGATTTGAATACAGTCACGGAAAATGATCTTTTTGATGATATGAATGATGATGACTTGCTTGATGGAGCAATTGGCCCGGATATTCCCGAAGTGGATCAAGGGGAGATAAATGAGAACGAGTTCAATGCCAGAATTGATAGCATTTTAAATGAGGATGAACCAAAAGGTAATTTAAATTTTTTTTTTTCCTATGCTGACAAGGAATTTTGAAAGAAAAATACAATCCATACAAACAACCTTAATTAGGTAAAAATTCTTTCACATCTCTCATTAATAGATGTAATTTATTAAAATGTAAAAAAAAAACCCCCAAAAAATAAAAAAAAAAACAATTATTTTCTTTATTCACATTATTTACAGTTGGACGATTATCTAGCTTCAGGATTATCTCATGTAACAAGAGCCTAAAGGATTAGTGCTGATTTGTTAATTTGGTCACATAGTAATTGCAAGTACAAATTTAGACTTAGTGGAAACAGAACAAACAATAACATCACAGTATTAAAAAGAAAAAAAAATGTCAAAATGAGATATTACTGTATGTTAAGCAAGCACATACAAAATAGATTTAACTTATGATTATCTCTACTCTGAGATTTGCACAGAATCAGGCCCACTCATCAGGAGACTTGGAGTGTGTGTATGCCACATATGTAACATGAAATGCAGATCAATTCCTGGTTTTATGAGCCACTGTCATTCACACAACAGATGAATGCAGTGTTGTGGGTCGGTAGTTTGTGTAGGGCTGGACATGTCAGTGATGGTCATACTTCATTTGTGAGTCAACAGCCACCATATATATATATATATATATATATATATATATATATATATATATATATATATATATACACTAGCAGCATGGCCTGGCGTTGCCCGTGCTTCATTCAAAAATCGTACGCCTTATACAGCAATCGCTATCACTTGACTTAGAATATTTTTGCCCTTCCTTGCCTTTAAAGGAGTGCCCTTTGCCATGCTGATGTTGCTACATGCCTTACTTCTTGCCTATCTCACATTGCGAATTTTTTCTAAGCTCTATACTAAACATTAAATCTATTACGAAAAAGAACTAAACAAAATGAACACAAAACGATCAGCTTTAAAAAAGGACTCGTAACTGGAAAAAAAAACCGAATGAAAAAGAATGTTAACAATAAATACTTTTTCACACCCAACCCAGTTCTGCGGAATCAGAATCAATGTTGAGTTTAAGTTTAATGAGCCAATTGAAGTAAAGTGCCATGCAGATTTAAATTTTTCCCACTTGTGAAAAAATGCAGCTATCGATATTTTTTTGCATGCTAGCATGTTAGTTAACATTCATGTCAGTCAGCTGTTGGCTCTCATGCTGGCCAACAGAATCTTCCTGCTTATTTGTGGCAGCCAGCTATAGGCTCTCACTCTGGCCAGTAGAAAATAGCTGCAAACTACATGAAAACTGCCGTAGAAGCATGAAAAAATTGATTATTTCCACTATCGATGGGAGTTGGGAAATGCAAAGTTGGTCTTGGCTTTGCTGCTAACTTGGAGCATGTGCATGTAAATTTTGGTGCAAATCTGTTGAAAATTGCGGCCGTGCATTCATACACACACACACACAGAAACATCCTCTTTTATATATATATATATATATATATATATATATATATATAATATAATGTAATATAATATAAAGGCTCATATATAAGGCTAATATATAGGCTCTAATAAAACACTAATATTCCATGGTTATAATTATTTGTATTGGAATCATAATCACGATCCAATTCATCAGACCTACAAATTCAAAAAGAAATCGAAAAATATATATAAATTATATTCTTGCTCTGCCCTGGACATTGAGCTCTACCTGGATTCTATTCTCTTGGAAATTTATATATTTATATATATATATGATAGGATAAGGAACAAATAGGAAACATTTATAAATTTAATGTTTTGCTTTTATTTAAGCTTCATTATAAAATGAAATATAGAGGGGTAAAGAAAATTTTAAGGTTTTTTTTGGGGTCATTCGTTAAACAGACCTCATGTGTATCTGTCCTGTCAAGCAGCATTCATGTATATAATTTATGTGTGTATGTGTATTTTGCATCTATAAACACACATTGTACTCAATTTGTTATATCACCAACTTTTATGAAATACATATTTAAAGAATCTAATGTGTCTACCTGCAGATACAACTGGTGTAAATTGAATTCTTTTCACTTTCACACAAAACATCTCCAACTCAACATGCAGACAACCACTAAACATGGATGAAAATGCCTAGTAGACACACACACACACACATGAATACATGTTGTCACCTGAATCTGGCATAAATAAACTGGAGTTGAGGATACACAGACACACATGAATTAGACACAGAAATGCTGCTTGACAGGACAAACATATGTGAGGTCTGCTTAACCAATGAAAAACAAACAACATAAGAATACCAGAATTTTTTTTTTTCCTCCATATTTCATTTTCTAACAAAGCTTAAATAAAAGTGGAACATTAAATTTATAAACGTTTCCTATTTGTTTCTTATACTATCATTCTTTCGGATTCTAATTTATATTTGATTCCAGTTCATATATGACGACAAGCTACTGCAATTATTTAATTTTTCTTGCGTTCATATAAGTGTTTTCTTTTTTGGGCTTCAAGTGTGTAAAAATTGTACAAATTTTCTGTATATTCGAGCACATTCAGCTATTTTATTAGCCATTATGAAGGGTGTTCTTTAATATTTTTTTTTTCTGAATGTGTAATTTTTTTTATATTTCTAGAGTGATGGGAATATTTTATTTACCAAACACAGTCAGCACATTTTGGTCATGTTCATATTTGATGTTATTGCGTGTTGCCGAATAGAATAGCAGAAAACGCTTGGAAATGCAGAACATTTTCTTATTTTCACACTTTTACTTGACTCAGTCTGAAAATTTTATGATTTAAATTCCAAATCAATGTTTGCACTTAATTTTTTTTTTTTTTTTTTTTCAGATGAAAATAAAAACATGTCTGATGAAGAAGCAAACAGTATTTCCAAGGAGGCTATTTCTGATGTACCTTACAAGGAAGTGCCACAGGTAACGCCTTTACAGAGAGCCTTTCAACCCGCTTCTACACCTGAACATTTAACACACAGGTTTATGGTAAGTATTCTTTTTATTTATTTCATTAATCAATGTGAACATGAAATATTCTTTTCTTTCTTTTGTTCAGAAATAACATATAACATAAGATAAATTTTGTCTGGAATAAAATCATTGGAAAGGAAAACTTATCTTAGCCAAAGATAATGACCTTTGTCTTTATTCGTTTTGTCCTTTTATAGATATAGTCTATCTGAAATTTTTGTACAGTAATATCATTACTTGCTGATTATAGCATGAAAAGAAAAGACTGTTATGTAGGTCCCCCCTCAAAAATGCAATGTCTAATGTTTAGAATGAATTTTTAATAATAAAAAATCTTTCTTGAAGTTTTTATTTTAGTTTTAATTTCAAGCTGAGAGATTAAATTTAATATTTCTAATAAACAAAATTCTATGCTGCATTTCAAAACTAATTTCAATTGATTGGTTTAAATTTTTGAAATTTCTAAAATTATTTTAATTAAGCACCATTTTTAGAAAAATGTTATAAAAATGTAAATCTCTTTATTAAAAATTCCTAAAAAGAAAATACAGGAATCCCTTGATTAATGCACATTTGATTAGTGCATTAAAATTTTTATATACAAAAATTCGGTTACTTGATTAGTGCAGTAAAACATTCCTTAGGTTAACCATAGTAATTGAAAATTGATTTTTTTATAGTTACCAATTAATTAAAAATTTTCCGAAATTTAAAAATATCGCAATGATAAAATCTGTCAGTAATTATTTATAACTATAATGAGGGAGGCATGAAACCCTTGCACTTAAATATCTAAATTATTGAAAAAGAATGAAGAAAAAGTAATTTTCTGAAAGAAATTTAACATATCATTAAATAATATTTTCAAGTGCTTTGTTCAAGATTTTGTCAGTTTATTTTTGATGAACAATTGCATCAATTCTTGTCTGTTTCCATCTGGCCTTGTGTTTTTCTGTTGCTAACTTTCAAAGCTGTATTAAAGTAGGTGTATGAAGTGCATTCAAAAAGTATCTGACCTTATTTTCTCTTCCCAAAACTAATGCCACCTGGGGAAAAAATACTTTGTGTGGAAGGTGATGCCCCCCTTCCTGTTCTTATGTGTAAATTTTCACACCGGTAGGCTGTGTTTAGTTCCCGGCTGTTATGACTAGAGTACAGCTGTGTAGTGCACCCTCATCAGATATTCGTTTTCACCCAAGATGACTGGGTGCATCAAGCAGGGATATTGCATCAAGTTTTGCCAAACGCTTGGTGATATTCAAGTTAAAACCATCCAGAAGACAGAGCAGGTCTTTGGTGATGATGCCATGGGAAGAACTCAGATCAAGGTGTGGTACAATTGCTTCAAACATGGCCACACCTCAATAGAGTGCAAGACATGCTCAGGCAGGCTGATTGAGAATGTTTGGCAAATAGTCATGGAAGACTGTTGTGTAACAATCCAGAAAATTGCTCACGAAGTGACAATAAGCACAGGATCAGTGCATTCCATTTTAACAGAGGATTTGTGCATGTGGAGAGTTGGCGAAATTTGCTCACTCATTCTGGTCATATAATTGAAGCTTTCCTGGTCAAGAACAACAGACCACTGGTTTTACAACTTTGGTCTCCCAACTTTGCACTGTGTGACCTCTGGCTTTTCTCTAATCTGAAACTATACTGGAAGGAAAGCATTTTGGAAAGAAATTGAGAAAAGTAACAGAATACTTCATAGTATTCCAGAATTCCCAAAGATAGTATTTTTAAGGTGATTAAATAAAATTTGTGAAATGTACATTTTTTTTTTTTTCATGCCCAAAGGTCAGACACTTTTGAACACACCTCGTATTTGTAAGGAGAGCCCAACCAACTTAAATATTTGCCAAACATAATTAGTATTTTGATGTCTGAAATTGGTTATTGATGCTGTTAAACTTCATCATGGCTAATATCATTAGTATCACTTAATTTCTCCTTAACAGATAACTTTTAACTTTTTATTTTTGTCTTTTCATTTGAATTTGAAGCCGTTACAATTTCATAGTGTAACAATACAATTCCTCTCACATCCTTAGGATATAAGTAGAGAGATTCCTTTTCCTTTGATTACCAATGTTTTCTAGGAATTTCATCTCCAGTCCATCTTTGAGCCAACTTAATTGCCAGAGTTTTCAAGATTCCTGTCTCCAGCCTGCCTTTGAATTGGCAAACATAAAATTTTGTTAATGATTTTAGATAATCATAAAAGTAGAGTCCTTTGAAAAACTTACTACCCATCCAGCTGAATGGGTGGTCTACTTTTCCACAATACAAGTGGATGGATAGGGAGTGGATTCCCAGCCAGTATCCATATAAGCAGTGATGTAGGAAGTCAGCAGTAAGTAAGTGACCAGCAGCCAGTATGGAAGCAAGCAGTGAGTAATCATCAGTCACCTAGACGGTCAGTGAATGTAAGGGTTCTCTTTCCGTGGCCAAAAGTTAGTAAAATAGCAGCCCACCTTCTTGAAGCTGAAGGAAGAAAACCATGGTTAAGTGAGAAATTGTATTGTTGCTATTTCCCAACCAGTTTCTTGAAAAGCATTTGTTGTTATTCTCTGTTGAATTCAATCACAGCCAAGGAAACAAACTGGTGAGCATAGCAAATCGGGTGCATATGGACACACAGCTGACCTTGGATGTCATCACAAGTTGTGCTGTGACAATGAGTGGAGTACGACATAACAATAGCATTAAATCATGAAGTATAACAAAATATACTTGTGTTAAAATATAAAACCACAGAATGAGCCAGTCAGGAAATGCTACCATCAATGATCATGGTACAACCGAAGAAGTAAAATATAATTGGTCTTTTAATATTGGTAAGTCTCCCAGTCTCGGAAGGCAATTCTGAATTTGAAACCAACTTAAAGAGGAATGGCTTCCCAGCAGGTTATCTGTCCCTAGAAACACTCATTGTTGTAGCTACAATGTATATGGTACCTCAGCAACTCTGCACTATGTTACAGCAGTGCTTCTCAAACTATCTGATATGCCAGACCCACATTTTTTTTCTCAATGTGTCACGTACCCATAATATTAATTTATACCGAAAACTATATATATAATGAATATAATAAAAGTTGACTATTTTTTATCTTTCATTTATTTTGTGAAAAATCAATATAAAAAGTAATAAGCAGTTTATTAACACAAAAAAAATTATATTATATAATATAAATTATAAAAAAAAAAATAATAAAAAAAATATAAAAATTATATAACCTTTAATCTTTACTAGTGTGAAAGGTGAGCCTGCTTCTTCTTTGTCAATTTATTCAGTCGTGGTTGAATTGAGTTGTACCAATTGTACCAAAACCTTCATTTGAAAACAAAAATTACCAAGTTTAGTACAAAAGTACAAATTCTGACGGTTCTAACTCTGGCAATGTAATGATTTCATCTTTTGTTATGAGTTGAATTTTTGGATTAATGCAATAAAATCAGACATAATTAAAAGGGACAATAGGAAAACTACACAAGTTGGTAACATGAAAAAGAAAATGGTATAGAATAAGCCACATGGTTATCACTCCTAACTCGACAGGGCTGTGGAGGTGGAACACAAAACCTTCGACTCTGATTCCTCTTTATGCAGTTAATAAAGCCTATGCCTATGCTCCTAACTTGAGTAGACCTATATCATAATAACTGGTTTATATCAAAGAATAAAGATATTGTGACTTTTATATCATCACCTATTCATTTAATATTTTCTAACAGAATTAGAAACAAAATCTTTGAAAGGATATAGAAGAAATAAAAATAAAAATGCTATATATTTTTGCAATTAAGAAATAAGTAAAGAACGAAAATAAAACTACTTTATAACAGAAGTTGAAATATAATCTTTTACAGGATGTAAATGACATAAAAATAAAAATTCTATAATGCAAGATTTTTTTTTACATATATAGTTTTTGAAAATACAAAATAACTACAAAAAATAAAATGACTTTAAAAAAGAAGTCACCAAATATACAGTAGAAGAAATAACAAAAAAAATAAAAATTCTATAATATAAGACTTTTTTTTACATAAAGTGGAAATTCAACTGGAGTTGGTATAGTTTTACCAACTCTGACTACATGACTCCAATTTCACAGCCCTGTGAGGAAATTAAAATATTGTGTACACTGGCTTAAAAAAAAGAGAAAGAGATAGATAGGACGAAGAAAATACACATCTATCAAGATATATTGATACCCATATTATTGAGATGTGTGTAATTTTCTTCTTTTTTAACCAAAATGAGTGTGGAGTGATAGCTAGTTCTGATATGTGAGGGGCAATAATCAGTTAACTGATTCTACAGATTTTTTTCGTTTTTTTTCATTTTGTTCTGTTTGTATTGCCAACTATAGTTGAAGTTTTCCTCCTGTCCTTTTAAATTATGTCTGTTTTTATTGCATTAATTAAATTTGTCCTAAGATTTTTAAATTTTTTTATTGTAAAGTTTCATTCATCAAGTAATTCATTGATTCAAATTTTCTTTATAATTCTTTTTTTTTGTTTTCTTCCAGAAATGGAATTCTGTTGGTATTATTAAGCAGTATAACACTGAATCAGAAAATTCCATTGATATCGAATTCCATGATACAGCCATCCATCATTCTATGCACCTTAATAATCATGTTGGCTATACAATGGCTGACTTGTCCAAAGAAGCTGTTGTATTGGCTTCTCCTATTAATGAAGATTCTAATCAAAGGCAAGTCTTACATTCTGATAAATTCCTATAAACCTTTCTTTTGTAGATATCAATATTTAATTGATTTTGAAAATTTTACTTATTTTGGGATCTACAGGATACAAACACCCTATTTAAAATTATTAGTAACTTTATTAATTATTGGTCAATTTTGATAGAACGTATTTTTTTTGAACAGCATAATGGTGGAAGTACAGTTAAGTGTTAAAATTCTAGCTTTTGCACATTTTCTTTCAATCTGGATGTTGAAGGATGACGGCTTCTGTAGATGCTTTCTAAAGTACTATAATCCTAACCTCTTTAAGTCAAGGCTAAATCATTATCTATCCTTATTCTCATAATTTTCACTTCCTATGAATTCCTCTTACGTTCATAGTAGACACGTCATTCAGTAAGTGTTTACCTTGAGTGGCTCATGAGCCTTGTATTAAATGAACTTTATCTATATAAATATAAAAAATATATATATAAAAAAAAACTAGTATCTATATGAATATAAAATATGTGTGTGTATATATATATATATATATATATATATATATATAACTCGTATCTATATAGATAAAAGAAAAATTGTTAGAATTCTACCTTTTGCACATTTTCTTCCAATCTGAACGTTGAAGGATGACCGTTTCTGTTGGTATCTACCACATATGCCATACTTATCCATTTGGAACAACAATTTCTGATGGTTTCTGGCATCAACTGAAGCACACAAGGTCCATGAACGCCCTGTACCACCGGCATTTGTTTCATAAACTCTCCCACTTTGTAACGGGATACTAGCTGGAGATGTTCATACAGTGTCAGGTATTGTGCCAGTCTCAGCTACACTTGTCACTCTGAAATAAAAACAGAAATTATCAATGAAATTCTACCACTTTAGGGATCATAATATATTTTGATTCATGCAAATGATATGATATTATCAAGTCATAAGTAATTTTCAGTAGGGATTTTCTTTCTTGAGAAACATTTATTTTATTCATTTTTGCAAGTGAATTATAATTATATATTTCTGTTTCTGTCTGAATTTCTGGAATGAGGTGTTATCATTATACGGTCTATTGGCCTCATCTTTGTTATCATGTTTTGGCCGTTGTGATTTCTGGCCTTCATTGATTTTATATTGATCCATGTAATCTACCAGGGTAGACTGTCCTTGTTCCACTGACCGTGTCGAGAGATATCTCATTTAGTTCTTCTTTTTAGTACTGCTCAGTTATTGTTAGCGCTGTTTCCACTGAGTTCAAGTATACACTGCCTGACCCAGAAATAAGTACTAACACCAAATTCACAAACCAATGCTTTATATTTTTATTTTCTCCCATATATATATATATATATATATATATATATATATATATATATATGAATGGTAATATTCATTTTGAAAAACCTCGTTTTGGCTCAACTTGTAATATAACAAATTGATGTCTGAGGAAAAAACAAAAAACCCAACAATATTTTACTCTAATAACCAGCTTTTCTTATGTCGGCACCTACTAAAATTTTTAGTTATATATATATATATATATGTATGTATGAATGTATGTGTGTGTGACGTAATTTGTTTACATTTGTATGAGTTTTGAGCAGATATGAATGTATGTGAGAGATTCATGGAATATTGAAGTTTAAAGACAGTAAATTCAACCTTGTAACCAAACACTCCTCTGTAGCTAAATCGGTTAAGGCACGTCAAGCTAAATGACAGTTTTGTTTAGGATACAGATTCAAATCCTGTTGGAGGACGAATATTTTCTGTGAAAATTTCTCGGACATTCAGGCTGGTAAATGTGGTTTAATACTGTTTATTATAAACAGAGCATTTACTTAAATATTTGTATCTATAAAAAGAATGTATAAACATAAAAATGTCATATATATATACACACTAGCAGTAGAGCCCGGCGTTGCCTGGGGATGTAACAGTAAGAGATAGATCAAGTATCCACCATCATAAAGACTGAAAAATAAAATTGACAAAGATTATTGTTTAAGGTTGACGGACACGCATGTCTTAATCAGGTTTTTTTTCTTTTTTTTTTCCGAATTGGTCAAACTCAAACGAAAACATTGTTTTCAATCATTATGAGTCTGCTGATTGAATAGAATTTTATTATAAACAATTGTCTTGTAAATTTAATTTTTAAAGCATTCTGAATGTAAAAATAAAGAAAAAAGTGTGCAAGACAATAAGAAATGCTACCTGCCAAAAAAAGTGAAGTTTTGTTGAAATCGGTTGAAAAATGTAGGAAATCCGATCCCATATATAAACGACACACAAACAACCTGGGTTTTATAATAAGTATAACTCGATATGAGTTGCCCCCCTTTCATTCTCGCAACAGTGATGCCTCTTAATCGTGTTTTCAAATTGATTTTGTACAAAAACAATTGTGTTTGCAAAAAAAAAGTGAAGTTTTGTTGAAGTTGGTTGAAAAATGTAGGAAATCTGATCCCATATATAAATGAACACACACAAACACAAACAACCAACCTGGGTTTTATAATAAGCATAACTTGATAACTTGATATTAATAAATATAACTCGATATGAGTTGTCCCCCTTTCATTAATGCCTCTTAATCGTGTTTTCAAATTGATTTCGTGCAAAAACAATTGTGTTTTTCCAATTTTTGGTGCTGTCAGAAACACCGCAAGGTAATTTTACATAGTTCTGTGAAGTTTTGTTGAAATCGGTGGAAAAATGTAGGAAATCCGATCCAATATATAAACGAACAGACACACACACACACACACAACCTGGGTTTTATAATAAGTATTATATATATATATATATATATACCCAAGTATATGATTGGTGTATACAGAATAAATTCCAATAACCAACAATTTCTATTCTTAAAAGAGTGCTCAATACAGAGTAGAGCAAATATAATTATTTATTTAAAAATTATAACATAAATATGTTATAAAATCACTACAAAAATAGTGATTTTATAACATATTTATATTTAAAAATTATATATATATATATATATATATATATATATATATATATATATATATATATATATAAATTGTGTATTTGGGTAGCAATCCTCTTTTTGTATAAGTTTCATTAAAGACAACTGACAATTAAATTATTTAATTTTTCTTTTCTGGACATAAAGTGTGTACAAATTGTCCAAATCTTTTATATATCTGAATGCTCTTGGCAATTCTATTAGCCATTATCAAGGATTTTTTAAGTTTTTAAAAATTTTTGACTAAATATGTTGATTTTTATATATGTAAAGTGATGGGAATGTTTTTTTATTTTCCAAACACTGTCAGCACATTGTGGCCGTGTTCATAGTTGATGTTATTGAGTGTTAGCTTTTTCCTTTTTATTATTAATGCTTCCATTATTTTTAACCTTTTTTTTTTTTTTTTTTTTTTTTTTTTGGGGTTGAGGTTATTATACTTTTATTTTCAACAAATGTGTGTTGCGGATGGAGTTTGGTAGGTTTCTCTGGATTTAAATAAGTCCTAATTGAGCTATGGTCAGAGAGATGTAATGTGAGTCTTCTTGACAGGCATGTAGTGGCATGTCCAATATAATTATGTATTTGATTTGATCAGGAATGCAGTTCCTTAAGGGATGTGTGTGTGTGTGTGTGTGTGTGTGTGTGTGTGTGTGTATGACTTTAACAAAATGAAGATGTCTTTTTTTTTTTCTTTCAGTATACATTTTTATATTTTTATATATGAATTCTATTTCTTTTTGAATTCTAGTTTAAAACTATTTTTTTCTTCATATCACTTTTTATATTATTTTTTCCAGTAAGCTGACATGCATGCATTTTGCATCTTGGGATAATAGCAAAGAATGGTCCATGACTATGCCGGAAGGGGAAGAAATTTTGGTAACAGCTCTCTTTATCTATCATCTGGAATTGTAGTGTGTTTCTGTCAGAAATTTCTTAATAATTATAATAATTATTTGGTAATCTTGGACTTTCATGCCTGCAAAAAAAAAAAGTAGGGTGTCAAAAGGATGGTTTTTCCCTTGACACTGCTATTATTTTAACTACTTTCACTACTCAACAATTTTTATTGCTTTAAAAAGCAATGATTTGAATTTTACTAAACCCTAGACACATGAAAGGAAATTTATATATTTTCTTTATTCTTGAGAATTGACAACAATAAACACTATTTATTAGATTTTTTTATTTACATTAATTATTTATTATATTTTTATTGGAATGGTTGGCAAAACATTGGCAATCAATTCAAACTTTATAAAATGGTAAATAAGGATTTCCTTATAGTTGGTTCACATATTTTAATAATTTAGCAAATGTTTATAAATTTATGAATAAAAAATTGTTTTCACATTTATTTCTTTATAAATTGGTAAATGATAAATATTGCATTGTATCAGTTTCAGTTGTATTCATTTTAGAATGTTGTAAATATAAAATTATTTTTGTAAATAAACAAAATAAGTAGTGTTTAATATTTTTGTTGTAAATTCTCAAGAAAAAAAAAAAGGTCTATATTTCTGAGATGAGGTATTGTAACTATTTACACTTATCTATTTAAGATAAGACCGCATGAACACTGTAAGGCCATATATAGCATGAGGGGAAATAGACAAATCAGGTATGGCTGACCATATATGGAGAGAAAAGGGAGATCACTCCCCTTTGTGGGATGAAATTGAAATAATAGACAGAGAACATCATTGGAAAATATGAAAACTTAAGCAATCAGTGCCTATTCTAGGCTACAAAAATCTCCTAAGCTGGCCAAGCATAGAAATGAATGAATACAATATGGGAACCAATAACACAGAGTGCTAGAGACAAATAATAGTAACAAAAATTGTAAAATCTGATTACTGAGACATTAGGTTTATAAGTCACAAAAATTCACTCAGACATGGCACAGCAGATAAAAACGTGACTTGATCCAAAGAGTTGTGAGTTCAGTCTCTGGCCACAGCAGAGAAAACAAATTGAAGAGTTATCAAGGGGAATTAACTAAAAAGCATCCAAAGACATGGCATGTGGAATTAGAACAATCTACGGGGACTAAATAAAGGGTTTGGTTCAAAATTCCAACATATCACCTGAAGAAGGCCGGCATGTACAACAGCTGAAACATTGTAAACATGACAATACAACAGTTTGAATAATGTAAATAGTGTAAAAAAAAAAAAAAAAATGTATAAATTCAGATTTAGTTTAGATTTTATTACAATTCTAATTACCACTTTTTAAAGCCATAAACATTGTTCAGGAGTGAAGGTAGTTAAAATAATAGCAGTGTCAAGGGAAAAATTGTCCTTTTGACACTCTACATTTTTTTTTTTTTTATTCAAAAGAAGAATAAAAAAAACTACTGATGCTTAGACATTATTTTATTTCATAATTCGTAGCATAATGAACAAGTTGACTGGTTCAGAATATCACTGACAGATTCAAATCCCACAATGCATTAGTTGTTGAGGTTTTCATTGTTAAGCCATCTTTACAACTTGCAATGTTATATTAATCCAAACATTTTTAACTTAATTGTTCATGGCTCTTCACATCTTTTTTTGTGCATTGTCATGTCTGTTTTTGAGTAAGATAATACAGTAGTTTTCTACTGCTTTCTCTACAGCTTTGAATTCAGAGTTGTTCTTCTCCTAGACTGGTTGACAAAAATGGCTAGTCAGCCCAGTCTGTCTTGTTATTTTGTATATAGCTGTTGAGAAGATTTACGCCTTTCCGAAGGTTATGAATGTAAAGTGACTGAAACTGCCTCAGACAGAATTCAAACTCTACCCGCTACTCCCATTTTTACAGCTCCTGTACATCTACATATCACCTAACTTAACTCTTTGTTAAAAATAGGCACCAAAAACCTCATGAAGATGAAATTATTCCTTAGTGCACTATTGATTTTATCATTGAGATTTTGTTCCTTAGAAACCATTGTTTTGTTTTTATTTTTCCTCGTATTTCTTGTGCCAGTTGCCATCAAAGTAACGTAAATTTTCTTCCTGTAAAGTTCCTAATTAACTTAATTTACTCTAGATTCAATGTTATCATCTATTGAAATGGAAGTTTAAAATCTATTCCATTTAAATAATTTGTGGGGGTGAGTACAAAATTTTATTGAAGCTTTAAAAATAGACATTTTAAAAGTATGTATATAACATCAATCAGCTCAGTGACAAACATTTACTTATATTAATTATATATATATATATATATATTATATATATATATATATATATATATATATATATATATATATATATATATATATAAATAATGAACTCTCCCGTGGGTTTCGACGTATGAGGATCTGACAGCTTATTGATGCAGTTATGAAAGTTTGTGCGATAATCTTAAGTGGCATTTAAGACCGCTAGTGATTTACAAAGGAGGCCACATATGGAGCAAGCATGAGGATTGTGAGATGAGATCACTGTTAGATTAATAACCTTTTATATATATATATATATATATATATATATATATATATATATATATATCTGTAAAGTAACAAAATGAATAAAAAGACAAGAGGAAAAATTATTCTTAGCCAACAAGTTTCATCCTCTGAAGAATTTTATCAAGGCAAATGTAGGATTTATTTTTGTTGCATGTGTATACAAGCATAAGGATGTCATTGGTTTATCAAGGCTATATATATATATATATATATATATATATATATATATATATATAGTGTGTGAATGTAAACTAAATAACAAGATATTAGCAACTGTATATGTGTACAATGGCATGCATACACAGATAAACAAGTAAATATTTACTTAATTTATAGTGCAAACAAAACAGTGCTCAATGTAGTTAAACAGAGCTATGAAGTAAGTATTAATAAATACACATACACCTATATTTGTAGTGCAAAATTTTATGGTTTCCCAAGTCATCAGGCACAAATTACAAATGAAGCACTTATTACAGTTGTTTCTTTAAAAAATATGTATATATAAAATGAAGTACTGGAAGAACAAGGATAAGAAAAAAAAGTTACTCACTATAAAGTGGTGGATTGAAAAAATATAACAATGAAAAAGAAATAAAGAAAAAAAATGAGTAGCCAATTGAGAATAAAAACAAATGCAATATGCATGTTGTCCTGCACATATTGTTTTCCTTGATTGGCTCTGAACAGCAAGGATTGATAACCAGTTACCAGTTTTCAATCTGTCTCTTTATGGTGGGTAACTTTATTTTGTATTTTTGCTCTTCCTCCTTTTTGTCTTATAATTTTGTATAAATTCATAATTCCTTTCAAAGTTCATAAAAATTATTAAATTAAATTTTCCTGACTGTTTTTTCAGGCAGTCACAGTGGGTGAAGGATGGATTGCTGCAGGTACAAATAAGAGACTTGTGCGTTTGTTTACTTTGTCTGGTGTCCAACGAGAGATTTTTTCTATTGCCGGTCCTCTCGTATGCCTGGTTGCAGGCACAGTCCAGTTAATGGTAGTGTACCACCGTGGAACAGGTCAGTATAACATCTAACATACTGGGATGTCATTTGATCAGACTGAAATAAAAAAAATTACAACTAGGACAACAATGTCAAGACTTTGTTGCCATCCCTTTTCATATTTTGTCTTTCTCATGAGTAAAGCATGAACTTAGATCTCCCTGCTTGATTCATGCTGTAGTTAGGCATGAAGCTTTTATTCTGTGGGGCTATTTGAAGTGTGATTTCATTCAAATCACCTTCACTCCTCTGTGTAACATTAATTTTGGAGAAGGATCAGGATTATATTTTTCTTTTCTTTTTTTTTTTTCAATTTAATCATTTCACCCCAAGCAAGGTAATAAAACCACTAGAATGCAAAGGATTACTGAATGTTGGAGAATATGAGAAAAAACTACTATTAAGGAGAGAGAACAATAAAAGAACAAGAATTAAGAAGACAGAAGATAACGATTGACATTGCATTTAAGTTTTTGAAGATCAAAGTTGACTGGGAAGCAAGAAACCAGAAGAGTTCTACAAGCGAGAAGTGCAAGAGAAGAAACTGTTAGCATAGAACTTACAGTTACATCTAGTAATTGCAACTGTAAAATGATGAGACCTTGCTGCAAATCTAGTACTACGCTTAGATTCATAGTCTTGGTACTATAGTTGAAAGCTCATCAGAACAATTACCATGACAATATTTATAGAAAAGGCCCAGGGGAGCTACAGGAAAATGATTGAAGCTGAGATGCCAGGTCAGGACCAATAACACTGCAAGTTCTTCTTTTGATTTCATCAAGAATCTCTAAATATACAGCAAGAGCAGCAGACTAGTAATATTCAAAGCAAGGATGAATGATAAACTTATAATATGTAAGATAGATTCTGGTGAGAAAAACTGTTTGGCATGACAGTAAACCAACTTTCTTAGCTGCAGACTTTGCAATTGATTCAATAAATTCTTTCCACTTCATGTCAGCAGAAAATGTTTTGATTAGAAATGTGAAAGTCTTGTTTCTTTTAATCTTCCCCATAAGTACGAATAATTTTACAGTTTAAAAATTGAGCTGAAAATCATTCGGGTGGCTCAAAAGCCACAAATGTCTACTTGGTTCTATTTTGCAAGTCCAATGTTAAAAAGTAGCACTAAAACAATATATAAAAAAAAAATTGGCAGACTAGGACCTTCGTTCCCACAGATATTTAATGTGATTCCTCGGAAATAGCACTGGTTGTGATTAAAACAAAAGATTAGAACAATCTCCCCAGCCTCATCGTTAAAAAAAAAAAAACGGGATCTATTTGAAAATTCTCTGGAGTTTTTTTTTTTTTTTTTATTTCTTACAACTTATTTCTTTTGCTTTTATGGACAGTACTAAGTACTAAATTTTTTTATTTTTTTTTCGGTTGTCAGACTTCTTTAGATGAAACTGTTGATTATTATTAATTTTTGTGTGTGTGTATGTACATTAACTAGCACAAGCAAATGCAAATCACTCATGCACAACACAGACATATGCATATACATTACATGCGCACATATGCAAAGTCAGAGGCATTGTGTGACAGACAATCAGCTCTTCTTTTATAATATAGATTAAATACATTAAATGTAACAATTATTATAGGATTGGGGTATATTCATTTTTATGTATTTGGTATATGGCACTGTAGCAAGGTGATGACCTTTGCATGAAAGTTTAAAATAGTGACTTGCAACAATGAAAGAGTTATGCTAACAGATTTAAAAGAAAAAGGGAATTATAACCTGGAAGTTAAATTAAAGAAGGAATGGTTCAAAAACATTAAAACCAAAATTTGAAGATTGGAGAAAGTCTCAGAATTGCTTGAAACTTAACCCCTTCCCCATTTCAATTTCAGACAATTTTTTTTTTATTTGTTTTTAATATAGTAACTAAGAAACTGAAGTACCTTGAAGTACCCAAGTAGTGGCTAACAACTCTACCAGATGTAAGAATTGACAATTGGACTCATTTCAAACTCGGAAATGCATGAAAAGAATCAAGATCAATGTATAAACACATCTGCGGCTGGTTTTTGAACATTATTTTTTGAACATGTTTATTTGTCAGTGTCTGAAAAAAACATTTTTGGTAAAAACATATATACATTTCTATGCCAGGGTTAAACTATAAACTTACATCACTGGGGAAAATAACTTGTGAGTAACCCAAGGGTCAAACATTATCAAAACTGAATGTGTCAAACTAAGTCAGCTGAAAAAAATTATATTGTCCCAATGAAGTTTGACAAGGAAAATGAAAATTCAAATTTGTAAAAATAGAAATTTTGCATTTTGAGAAACACCTGCAGGGTTAAAGGTGATACTTGATTTTCCATATAAACCAGCTCTTACAGGCAGCAAAAAAAAAAGTGGGCAGGCTAGGCTAGAGCTTCATGACATCGGTAACAAAGACATAGGAGTGTGCAGTTGATTGTCATGGTCGCTGATAAAGCTAAGATGCAAACCATCAGTGGTAGAAGAGAGTTGCAGTAAAAATTAATAAAATGTAAGAGTGGAAATCCAACCATCAGTAGCAGCAACCAGTAGCTTTTTGGAATTGAAAAGTTGCAGAATGCCTGAAGCAATATTAATGTGTAATGGTTGTGATAGTTCCTTAAAATAATTATTGTTATATGTGAAGAACACACAACCAGATTGTAAATCCTTTCACACCAAAAGAATTCCTGAAGTTGCCTAAAGTTTTAATGCTTTGATGTTCTTTATTACTTTTTCTTTATCAACTCTTTATTCTGCCAAAAAGTAAATTTCTATTGATTGTATTCTGATGTTTTTGATGTGTGAATTCACATGTTAGATTTCTAGTGAAATAGCAACCAAAACACGATGGCTTAACAATAACCTTGAACCTTATTAAATACACAACAAGCCATTAGACACTTACAATCTTCGATGTGGGTGGTAGTATGGGGGTAACTGAGGAGGTAGATAGACAATTCCCAGACCAGTATCTAAAATCACACCTCTGTATCTGATGTGGTGATGTTATTGAGATCCTGAGGAACCACACCTGACTACACTCATTTATATTTTGTCTAGTGTAATGATGACATTATACCCACCCCTGTTTATATTCTAAATATACTGCAAGCATAAACAAAGTGAAAACATTATTTTGCAGGTGTACCAGGAGATCAGTGTTTGGGAACAGACCTCTACAGAGTTGGTCGGAAAAAGAAATGTTTACTTAAAGGAGATTTGCTGCCTCTCAGTGCAAAGTCATTTTTGTGTTGGGCTGGGTGAGTAAGATTTTTTTTTTTTTTTAAATCGTTTCACCTGAAGTTACTAAGATACATTGGGGAAAAAGCTTATTAAGGGGAGAGAGAGCATCAAAAGAACAGGAATTAAGATTAACAAAGCAGAAAATAATGATTGACATTGTATTTAAATTTTTGAAGATCATAGTTGACTAGGAAGCAAGAAGCCAGAAGAGAGTTCCACAAGTGAGAAGTGCGATAGAAGAAACTGTTAGCATAGAACTTAGTTACAGCTAGCTATTTCAACTGTAAAATACTGAGACCTAGCTGCCAATCTAGTACTGCACTAAAATCGGTAAAGTCAAGGTACCAATGAAGAAAGCTGATCAGAACAGTTACCATGAAAATATTTATAGACAAGGTACAGGTTTGGATTGTTTTATTTCGTTTTACGGCATATGAATGTCAATGAGTTATTTAATGCTGACAAGATTTTTAAAATAGGATTGTATGAATAGAACGTGTATTCTTCATAAGAAATCAGTTTGTAGATCAGGTTTCATTGAGGTATTTTTGTAAAGAGGGTTTTTGTGGAGAGTTAAATTTATTGATGGTAATATTTTTTTCAAAAATATATTGCTGGTAATAATTTTTTTCAAAAATGTATTGCTGGTATTTTTACTATAAAAAACTATTTTTACACTTTCATAGTTCTTTGACTCTAGTTTGTTGGGGGGTTAATTATTTGCCCATAGCTGTGACCCTAACAGGTGCTACCACTCTAAGTCAGGGTGGACCTAGGAACAACAGCAATTAGGAGGTGGGTCCATGCTCCTAAAACCTCCCGATTAGAGGCCTTGCTGCCAGATGTAGTTCCATCCTGGGTATGATGATAAACTACATCTTTGAGGTTTTGAGGAGTGTGGAACCACCTCTTAATTGCTGGTGTTCCCAGGTCAACCCTGGTCTGGGGTGGTAGCACCTGTTAGGGTCCCAGCTATGAGTAAATAGTTAACCTTCAAACTGGGGTCAAAATTCTATGAAAATGTAAAAATAAGTTTTAATACCAGAAATACTTTGTAAAAAAATATTACCAGTAATACATTTTTGAAGAAAAATTATTACCAGCAATACATTTTTGGACAAAAAGAAGCAGCAATAAAAAATCTTGTTGGCATGAAATAACCCATTGAGGTTGATATGCCATAAACCAAACCAAACCGGATGTAGTTTATTGTCATACCCAGGTTGGAAAAGGTACAGGGAAGCTATGTTATGGTGGTGGGAAAGTGACTGAAGTTGAGATGCTAGAAACTTGTCCAAAAGTTCTCAGCACCATACGTTCTTCAAAAATAAAAATAAAAATATATTTTTTTTATTATAAAGCTGACAACCTCTGCAACATAGTTCTGATTATTGTTCTTTACTGTCTGTGTTGCTTAATTTTTGTTTTCATGTCTAAGAATTTGGTAAAAGTTTTTTTGTTTGTCTGTTAAAGATTAATGTTGCAAATCACCATTTATTTATAGGAACCGGTCGTATTAACAGAACAATTTGTTAAATAAATACATTAAAATTTTCAGTGAGTGTAATGATTTCTTTTCAATTGAATGCTGGTGCTAATAAAATAGTGCTCAATGTATAATAACAGAGCTATAATTTATATTAATAATAAATATACATTTTTTTCTTGTTTTTGCTAAAATGTATTTATTATATATATATATATATATATATATATATATATATTTAAAAAAATTATAACATAAATATGTTAGAAAATCACTACAAAAATAGCCATTTTGTTTCAACACCTCCAGTGTCTTATCAAGTGATGATGTTGAATATATATATATATATATATATATATATATATATATATATATATATATTATATATATATATATAGCCATTTTGTTTCAACACCTCCGCGTCTTATCAAGTCATGATGTTGAGTGTGTGTGTGTGTGTGTGTATATATATATATATATATATATATATTTGAAAGAGAGAAAAAGCTGCAAATGTTGTTTTATATATCTGCTTAGTATTATTTTGTCCTGTTCTTTCTTTTTCTTATTTTTTATTGAGAACTTTTTGTTAGTTCTGTTTGTCAAGCATTTTGCTGATTACACTTAACCGTGGCCAATTACTCCACACATTTTCCTGGCAATTTTCAATTTTTTTTCTTTGAACAGTGTGCCTAATTTAAAACTAGACCCTCACTTTTCGTCCAATTCATTGCAATGTGCATGTCTTTTTCATAATGTCTGTCATTCTAAATTACAGAAGCCTAAAAAGAACGAAAAGGATCAAGTGATGTTTTCTTTTTCTTTGCAACTAGGAACTCAGTTTGTTGACTCTTATATGTATGATTTGTGGTATTTCAGCTTCTCCTTGGAAGGAACTCCATTCTACATGGACTCTACGGGAGTTGTCAGCATGCTAAATCAATCATTTGGTAACAGCTGGACACAAGTATGCCACACAAAGAATCATGTAAGTATTACATCTATAAGAAATTCTGGGCATCTACCTTAGAGCAATGGTTAGCAAGCTTGTCTAATATGCTGTCAGCTAGTGACCCGAATTCACTTTTCATGAGTGCTCCATCAATGTAGTGGAATATCAAACTGTGGTAGCTTTAGATATAAGAATTTCCAGATTTAGATATGAGACAAAAGCTTGTACACTCAAACACATTTTGCCTCATTTTGGCAGTTGCCTTCAAGTTGGAATGAGAGACAAATGTGTGTGTAAGGAAAATGCGTTGGAGCTTTTGAGATATTATGGCCAGAAAGTTTTTTTTTTTTCTCAAAGCTATTAACATCTGCTTGATTTGAAATTAGCCTAATCTGAGTTGATCTGTGTATTTTTCTCTTTTAAATAGTGTATATATATATATATATATATAAGAAATAATATTTTTAGAATGGATCCAACATTTTTATCACTTTAAACGTTATTTTTAGTGGATACTCAAATTTGAGTAGCTGCTGCATCTGTTCATTGAAAATGATAAAAAAAATCCATTCAAAAAATTCTCTTAGTTACATCTCCAAATGTAAACGGAGAATTTTTAGTAGTGATTTTTATCACTTTTAATACATAAATGGAGCCTCTACTCAAATATGAGTATCCACTAAAAATAATATTTAATGTGATAAAAAGAAATATTATGCAGTTATGATGTTAATAGAAAATCTATTCAAAATCTGTGAAAAGTTCACTTTAAAAAAAGCATAGAAATGAAATGTATATTTTTGAAAGAACTTTACTCCTAATTCTGTCTCATTATAGTTTTCCTGAAAAGTATATCGATTCGTTTTTTTATGGGTTATTAACCCCATGCAGAAAGCGAAATAAAGGGTTCAATTCGATATTCCAACCACCTGAAGAAGGCCGGAGCGTACAACGGCCGAAACGTTGTGATAAACATGGCAACAAAGATGGAGACAATAGTCTGAATAATGTAATAATTTCCTTTGCAAACATGCAGCAAACTTTTCTCTGTTTTTGATGCACATCAACGTGAGCTAAAATCGAGATGTAATGTGGGGAGATGCATTGGTTGGTTAATGGAAACCTGGGTGTCAGTCCCTTTGTACATTTACAATGGAGGAAGCTGGTCAGGTGCTCGGATGCATAGTGACCCTAAGACCACATTCAGTCATGGGACAAATGTAGATGATGTTGATGAGACATTGATAGTCATCAGAGAAGTTATACAGCTCTCTGCTGTGAAGTTTGAATGCCAGTCATTGTTACTTTTAATCTATGAAACATCATTCAGCTGGTATTTGTTGCAAAAGTTTATTATGTCTAAAAATGTGCATGCATGCATGCATGTGTGTGTGTGTGTGTATATATGTGTGTGTGTGTGTGTGTGTGTGTGTATATATATATATATATATATATTATAAATTAATTGATTTAAAATATGGTTATTTTCGCTACACAGTTCAACCATGTTTCAAAATAGAAGCTAAAAACCCTAATTTTATTTTTGCAAATAAATTAAAAAGCATTTTCTATTTCATCTTCAAAAAATTTTGGATTAACTTTTAAAGTTACTCATTTTTCTTTAACATGGTTGAACTGTGTAGCGAAAAAATAACCATATTTTAAATCAATTAATTTATAATATTAATGCTCTGTAAATTTACATTGAGCACTATTTTGTAAAAATAAAATATCTATAAGAACACCGGATTTTATATCTTACTGTTCTTTCTTTTTATTTATATACATATATATATATATATATATATATATATATATACATACTCAGTCAGATGACCCATACATATTTGATTATTGTGGTGAAGGCTTGTGCAGAACTAGCTACACATTTTTGAAGAGCAGTAAAATTTGACTTATTTTATTTTAGTTCCAATGAAAATCCTTGAAAAATTTTGTTTCTACCCTCATCGAATGATTTTAGACAATATAAAATACAAAAGTAACACTTTCTAAATATATTTCTGGTAATTAAAAATGGTACTAATCTTACAACAGGAAAGAAAATCAATGTAACTTAGTTATCTTAAAACTAACCTTAGCTTATTAAACAAGAGAAGTGAATTGATGGTTACATATAGGTGTAAAGATAAATATGTTTAAATACATTGATCCAGATTAATTCTTAATGTAAATTATGTTTTTTAATAAGTTTTTTTCAAAAGAACAAGTAATCTCCCTTAATGCTTAATATAAAAAATTAATATTCACAATTCTAAAATTTTTATATATTTTTTTACATATATATATATATATATATATATATATATAAATACTGTTTATTTTAAATGTCAAATATTTTTTTAAGATTAAAAAAACTGTAATCCCGATATAATATATAACTAAACCAACACTGTGATAATCAGATATTTTAATTGAAGTTTACATAACAGTCAGTGTATACCAAACACCTGAAGATTGTATTGTGCATGAAACAATCAAGTTGTGCTATTGATAAGGGATAATATGTATATTTATTAATATATATTTAATAGCTCTGTTGTATTACATTGAGCAGTTTTATTAACACCAGCACTATATGTGCAATATTATATATATATATATATAATCTTACTAAAAAATATTTTGTTTCTCACTGTTTGGTACAACTGAGTTTCATACACATGCCAATTGTTGGGCACAGATTGAAAACTGATTGTTTTATACTTATTTTGATATATGACTGTCTTGCAAGTCTCATTGTATGCTAACTTCAGCATTCTTATTATATATGCTTATATGCTTTATTATAACTAATCTTTGGTTTCATAAAAATTAGACCCCACCCCAAACACATTCGTATTCTGTTGTTCCCAGATTTTTGGTTTCCCTGTAGACAATATTTCAGTTTAAAGAATATTGGTTTTTACTCAAGATTTTGGGTGTTTCATTTTTAGCTGTGGTTATTTAAAATGGTTTTATGAAATCACATTGAAAGTTTTAGCTTAAGTATATAAAATGGTTTTAGGAAAGTTTATAATTTTCTGGCCACATAATTTTTATTATTTGTTATTATTTATTGAATATTCATTTCATTGACAGCTTTCTTTATTTTTTTTTCATTTTAGGCTCAGGGCAAATCTGATCATTATTGGATTATTGGTGTTGTGGAATCTCAGCAACAAATTAGGTGAGTTTTCATGTTCTTTGTTTTTTATTTAAATTTTTATCCTATTTTATTTTTTTTTATGCTTTTTAACATTTTGGTATTTTTTTTTTTAATTTCTGCTGTTTTTTTTTTTTGTTTTTTTTACTGTTTGCTACTTTTTGTTTTTGTTTTTTTCATTCTTGTGTTTAAATGTTTTTTACTTTTTTTAAATTTTTACTTGCATTTTTTAAAATTTTGTGCTTTTTTTTTTTTTTTTTTTTACTTTTTGGCTTTTTTACACTCACTTTAAAAAAAGAAATTTTTCATACTTTCTTTTTTTCATAGAATGGTTTATTGATTTTTACATTTTTTTTTTTTTTGGTCTTTTCTAGCCTTTTCTACTTCTTTTACTTTTTGCTTTTTTAGACTTTCTCTCTGCTTTTTGCTTTTTACAATGCTTTTACTCCTTTACATTTTTTTCACAATTTTACTTAGTGAAGCAATGGTTCTAATCTTGGATGGAATTATTAAAATGGAATAAAATATTTACAAACTATTTGTTATTTTGTAATCTAGTTGAAAGATTATTATATACCAATTATTCATGTAATTTTCAGGATATATTCAAGAAATTAATCCAAATTTCCATTCACTGTAATGATTTCATATATACAGCAAATACTAATAAGATATATATGATATGAATAGCTGATAAAATGTCTATCATATATTTAGCATGTTGGCATACAATCTGTATGCTGTACCTAGAAAATCAGGAAGAAAGGGATTGTCATTGATCAGGAATTAAAGTATTATTGACCAAATAGAATTATTATCTTGTTCTCTCTCTCTCTATATATATATATAATTATTTTAAAAATGACAGGGTTTTTTTTTTTTTTTTAAAGGACCTTTTTTTTGTCCAATGCTTCTTTAGAAAAATTAATTGGAAAAATAAAACCCCCAAATATACAAAAAAATAGTCATAAATGACGAAACTGAAAAAGTGCTTGGAGGGTAAATAAGGAACTGCAACTAAAATAAATTTATTACTAAAAAAAAAAAAAAAATCAATGTAAATAAGCTCCTAGTGAGTATAACAAAAGAAAATTGTACTCACAACCCACCCATGAGAGACAGAAAATGAAGAAAGTTCTCCTGCCTGCATAAAGTTGGTCAGTGAGGCTTGATATGATCAGCTTCTAAAATATGTAAATGTTTACTCGACTGAACTTTGTGCAATATCCTAAATGCTTTGTCAGAATATTTCAAAATGCAATGTGGGTTGTTCACCAAATGTAGTTTAATCACTGACTCACAAACTGACTGAGTCAAGCAGATACTGTCAATGACTCCATTTATCTTATATGATGGTACATGCTGTCCAATCTGGACCTCCAACCACAAGTTTGTTTTCCCCACAAAATCAGCCTCACACTGACATTTAAATTGTTAAATAACAGAACTGCATTGCAGGTAAGGAAAACCATCCTTAGCGAAAGATGGGAACACTGGTATAGTATCAAAAATAGGTAACAGCTGAATGTCGTCCACAAAAATTGTCTTTGTACAATCTGTAGCTATACTTTTGATGATAGGGTGTCCAATGCTGATCTTCTTGCAAAATGCAACATTGGTAACATTGAGACCTTCCTGATGCAGTTACAATTTCCCTGGGCTGGTCAAGGATGAGTGATGAGAAAATATGACAGTGGACAAAGGACTGTTGGTTGGTTGTGGCTCAGGTATAGAGTAACTTCTTAGCTATGTGCCTAATACTAATTTTGAATGAATTGCTCTGGATAGAAATAACTGGAGATATTTGCGTCAGAGTAGTATTGGAAATTTTGAAATCAGTTGTATTGATTGGCTACGAGACGAAAGACAATGCAAAAAGCATAAGCAAATATTCCTGTAACTATGTCCCAAGATTCTCGCTGTTGCACAATATGTGGACATATATGACATTTCAGACCTACTGATGACCTGCATACATGACACAAAATTAAAAAAGTGAATGAAGTTGTTGGATCCCCATAGGTTGAAATCGATGGAGGAGTCCATCATATCATATATAATTATATAATAAGTGTATTTGTAAGGGTTCCCCACTCCCTATAAATGTTTTCTCTATTAGTTCATTCTTTTGCACTGGTAATACCAGGTGGCTGTGTTTTTGTTGGGATAATGGTGTACTGTTCCAAATTCTTTTACAAAACTGGTAGGTGGAAAACAAAGACAACTCCATGAAAGAGTAAATAATAATAATAATAACAACAACAACAACCTCCTCTTCCCCCTCCTCCTCTGAGTTCAATACCTGGTTAAGGCAGTGGAGAACTTGGCGAGGGCAATTAACAGGAGATAACTGACATCCATTAGACATGGCACCTGGAACTGGAACTGGAACAGTCAACCCCAGTGAGCGAAATAAAGGGTTCAATTCGATATTCCAACCACCTGAAGAAGGCCGGAGTGTACAACGGCCGAAATGTTGTGATAAACATGGCAACAAAGATGGAGACAATAGTCTGAATAATGTAAATAGTATATTATGTATTAATATAATTGTTCAAAAAATATATTTAAAAACTCACGTTTGAAAACCTTTCAATGGTAGAACATAAAAGACATTAGTATTTTTGACAGTATGAGTAAATTATTATATAAATAATGTGTGTACAGTTTTGTTTATATATAAAACTAATACATTTTTTGATTCAAATTTGTCTTTGTCATTTTGCTGAATGATCATAAATGCAAATTAAAATAAATTTTCTGTTCAAGTAGATTTTTTTATTTTTATGCATATATTTTTTAATTTTTGTTTTTTTAATAATTACATTTTGATTTTTTTACTTTTCCAGTTTTAGCATTGTCTTTTTTTTAATGTTATTTTTTATGCTTTTCTATTACATTTTTTACTCTTTTTTTTTTTTTACATTTACTTTTTTTTGGTTTGCTTACTTTTGGTTTGCTTTTTTGGTTTTTGTTCTTTTTTTTATTTTTTTGCTCTTTTTATATTTTTGTTCTTTTTTTATATTCTGTCCTTTTTTTGTGAGTGTGTTACTAAAGTGGTGTTTCTAATCTAGAAATGATTAAAAAGAATCAAATATTTAAAGTGAATAAGTGAAGATATGAAAATAAAACTGAAATGCAAGTAAACATGACTTTATTGTTGATTTCATCTTTTTCATTATTTCCTATTATTAAATGAAACATTAAAAATATACATTGTTGATTATTGATTTTAGATGCATTCTTTGCAAAGGATCTCGATTTCCACCTACACTTCCACGGCCAGTGATGGGTAGACTGCCCTTACAGTTGCCTTTGTGTGAACTGAACACTGAGAAAAGTTTATACGAGGTAAATTTTTCATTTTATTGACTTCATTTCTTCATTTGAAAGACTTAAAAAAATTTATTTAAATTTTTGTGTTGTTCATCTTTTTTCTCTTTCATTTTTGTTTCACTTTTTTTTTCATCTTTTACTTCTTTTCACAAATTTCTGCCATTTCTCCTTTATTTCTCTCACTTTCCATCTGTTCACTTTCTCCTTCCTTTTTATTTTTATTCTCTTTTTTTTCCTGCTGCTATCTTTCAAACGAAGAAAGTAAGAATTAGAAAAGAGCTAGAATGAAAGTTCCCAAAATCTTCAGTTACCTTTCCCAATGGCATAATGTAGCTTCTCCGTAGCTTTTCTATAAATACTTTTATGGCAATTGTTCAGATGAACTTTCCTCTATAGCAGTTAGAATTTATGAATTTAAGCACAGTACTAGATTGGCAGCTTGGTCTCATCATTTTACAGTTGAATTGGCTGCTAGATGTAGCCGTGAAGTTCTATGCTAATAGTTTCTTCTGTTGCACTTCTTACTCGTGGAACGCTCTTCTGGTTTCTTACTTTACAGTCAACTTTGATCTTTGAAAATTGAAATGCAATGTCAATCATTATCTTCTCACTTCTTAATTTCTTTTCTTTTATTCTTTTTCTTAATAGTGTTTTTTTTTTTCCTCAGATACTCTAATACTCAATAACCCTTGCATCTTAGTGACTTTATTGCCTTGCAGTAAAGTGATTTAAAAAAAAAATTAAACTGAAGAATTATATGACTTCCATTTCATTTGTAAAATGTTTATCTCTTGTTTCCTGTTTAGGATTAGGTTTCTGGTTCCTTCTAAAGTCAGCTTCAATTCTTTACTTCTAACTTCTATGCTGGAACTCTGAAATGTTATTTATTTTTTTCTTCCTTCAATAGGACTAGATAGATTCTTTGAACAGGAGTAGAGGTTTATCCCTTGTTTCCTGTTTAGGGTTAGGTTTCTGGTTCCTTCTAAAGTCAGCTTCAATTCTTTACTTCTAACTTCTATGCTGGAACTCTGAAATGTTATTTATTTTTTTCTTCCTTCAATAGGACTAGATAGATTCTTTGAACAGGAGTAGAGGTTTATCCCTTGTTTTCTGTTTAGGATTAGGTTTCTGGTTCCTTCTAAAGTCAGCTTCAATTCTTTACTTCTAACTTCTATGCTGGAACTCTGAAATGTTATTTATTTTTTTTCCTTCAATCAATAGGACTAGATAGATTCTTTGAACAGGAGTAGAGGTTTATCCCTTGTTTCCTGTTTAGGATTAGGTTTCTGGTTCCTTCTAAAGTCAGCTTCAATTCTTTACTTCTAACTTCTATGCTGGAACTCTGAAATGTTATTTATTTTTTTCTTCCTTCAGTAGTAGATAGATTCTTTGAACAGGAGTAGAGGTTTATCCCTTGTTTCCTGTTTAGGGTTAGGTTTCTGGTTCCTTCTAAAGTCAGCTTCAATTCTTTTCTTTGAACTTTTAACTTCTATTAGCTGGAACTCTGAAATGTTATTTATTTTTTTCTTCCTTCAGTAGTAGATAGATTCTTTGAACAGGAGTAGAGGTTTATCCCTTGTTTCCTGTTTAGGGTTAGGTTTCTGGTTCCTTCTAAAGTCAGCTTCAATTCTTTACTTCTAACTTCTATGCTGGAACTCTGAAATGTTATTTATTTTTTTCTTCCTTCAATAGGACTAGATAGATTCTTTGAACAGGAGTAGAGGTTTATCCCTTGTTTCCTGTTTAGGATTAAGTTTCTGGTTCCTTCTAAAGTCAGCTTCAATTCTTTACTTCTAACATCTATGCTGGAACTCTGAAATGTTATTTATTTATTTTCTTCCTTCAATAGGACTAGATAGATTCTTTGAACAGGAGTAGAGGTTTATCCCTTGTTTCCTGTTTAGGATTGGGTTCCTTCTAAAGTCTACTTCAACATTATATTTCTAACATCTCTGTCTGAACTCTGAAATTTTATTTACTAATTTTTTTTTCTCTTCATGATAGGTATAGTTAAGTACACCTGTCGTCCTGTTCATACTCATCCCTGGTCTTTTTGAACAGGAGTATAGGTTTATGCCTTTTCCCTGTTTAAGATCTAGTTTCTGGTTACTTCTAAAATCTTTACTCTCTCACTCCTATTAGCTCTTTGTATCTTAGTGACATTGTTGCCTTGCTTGAGGTTAATTGATTAAAAAAAATGTCGAGTTTTGTTTATTATAAATATTACATGATGCTTTTCAGCTGTGACAGTGTCACTTAGCACTCTGCATCATTTATAAATATTACTTCCCTTTTTACTGTATATGGAATCCCTCTTAAAATATAGTGTTTTATATATTAGTTCTATATATTTGAAATTGCAGTAGCCTGGTTATCAGTTTCATTCAAAATTGTTTTAGATGTTGCCATATATGAGTACACAATCAAGAAATTCAAATTGGCAGAACTAACATTTTGCTTGGCAAAAATAGTTACCTACAGAGTGTTAAAAGGTTAAAGATGTCATTATTCCACTTTCTCTTTTTTATTCTTTCTTTTTTTTTTTTACATCTTTCTGTCATAAAGAGAAATGTTCTTGATGACTATCACCAAAATGACAACTTCTACGACTGTCTCAAATATTTACACTGTCTGCTGACATATGATTTACTTTTGAAATTTTTCTACTTTGCTTTTAACCAATTCCAGTATCAAAATTGGTCTTAAAAGAATTGAAGATTCACTTATCATTTGTTCCTAATTTTAGGAAAAATTATGGCGGATGCAGTTCCTTCAAAACACTATTGATTCTTGTGTTGCTGATGGTAAAGAATTTGATCAAAGTGCCAAAGAGGAATCAATCAAGAGCAGCAAAGAAGAACTTATGAAATTATTTGCTGTAAGTAATTTTTGCTGATTCTTTGTTTCTCTTGCAATTTTTGCTGATAATGACTGTGGCCAAGAAATATCAAATTTGTGTGTTGATTTTTTTTATTTTTTTATTTTAGATTAGGTATTGATCATTTGTTCCATTTAGCATTAATGAAGAAAGCATACACCTGAAAATTAACACCTGGAGCATAAATCTTCATCATGTATGTTTCATGTTTTGAATGGAATCATCAAATTGTCATTCACAACATTTTGGCTGTTGTACGCTCCAGCCTTCATCAGGTGATATACATATATTATACATGAATAAAGTGTTCGGTTCAAAATTACAATATATATCACTTGAAGAAGGCCAGAGTGGACAATAGCTGAAACGTGAATATGACAATAAAGATGAGGCCAACAGTCTGAACAATGTAAATAGTGTAAATATGTCCACTTTTATATTTACATATGCTCTATCTCTGATACTGAGCACTTTTACCCATAAATATAGAATACCTTAAAAATATATATTTTTATTATACAGGATGTGGCTCTTACTGTCCTACCATTATGTGGATTTTAAAAAGAAGATACTAGATCTTGTATAAAATATTGGTTTACCTGTAAATATATATATAGTTTTTTTATTTTCTTTTGGTTGGTTGGTTAATTTTACAACATGTCAACCCTTCTTGGGTTATGTAATGTCAAATTTTGTATGGGGCACTCAGTGAAAATTGAACTCGCTACTCAATAATAGTGGTTAACCAGGGTAGTTTCGTTAACCATAACTCCATGCCAAAACATTTCTGTTTTGAGTAAATCTGTTAGAGGTTTATCATATTTTCTTGCGTATAATACAATTTATTATTTTAAATATGACCCCATGTTTCTGAAACTAAAAACTGAATAAATTATATCCCTGAGTATAATATGACACTGTAGGACAGCCATTCCTATGTAAATTTATTTTGAAAAGTTGTGCCCTATTAGCCATTAAAATGCTAATGTCATATCTTCATCATCGTAATATTTTACAATTTGAAATTATAAGTACCAGTATACATCATTTATATTGCGATATAATTATGTAAGTATTGTTTACATATCTATTTTGTATTGTTTTATTTTTCTCAAATCGTTTAAAGTTTTCAAACTGGATGCTTTGTTTCAACAAACAAAGGAATATGAAACAGTACGAGAACTATCTCCCCATTTTTCATGCAGAAACTCAAAGTACCTAATTTATAAAAATAAGCTTTTGTTGTAAGATTAATGGCATCAAAACATGACGGATCTTGTGTGTTCCCTTTTATTGATATTTTTTTTTTTTTTTTTTTTTTTTAAATCAATTTTGGTGAATTACCTGTCTTTGAAAGAAAAGACATTCTGTTATGCTGATTCCCAAAGAACAAATATGGCTGACATGTCAAATACCTTTTGTAAATAATTGTTATCAACACCAGCCTACTTTATTATGTATTGTGCTGATTATATTTGCAATATTGCTGTTTCAAATAAAAAATTTTTTTTTAAGCCAAGTAAAAATTTCTGAAAACATCTACTTGTGTATAATATGTCCCACTTTTTGGCCTTTTAATTTTCATTTAGAATTTCTTTTATTATGCACAAGAAAATACAGTATGTATAATTCTTCTAATTAAGTTACGATTTCTTTCTTATTTTAGCTGTCTGTTCGTTCGGATCGTGAATGTCGGGCTTTGGACATTTGTGAAATGATGCCAGACCAGCACACTTTACAGTTGGCCATTAAATATGCCAGTCGACTCAAGAGAATGCAGCTTGCCCAACGAATTAGTGAATTGACACAAAAGAGGGCTGTAGAAGAGATGGAACGGCAGGCTCGATCCAGACGAGATTATAATGGCATGGATGATGACAGTGAAGGGGAGGTGGAAGAGGATGTAGAAGATGTTCAACCTGTCTGTCCAAAAAGTTGGCATATAATGAAGTAAGCTGGACAAGATGCTTTTCTTATTGCTACAATATTAACCTCTTCAAGTCTAGATTCAACCAACGGTTATCTTTGCTGCATATCCTCATTATATGTACATCTTACCTCTTCTTCGTACATTCATATAACAATCACATTCTTCAGTAAACCTCTACCTTGAGTGGTTCTTCAGCCTTACATTAGGCCCCGAAATGTTGGAAACATTTGTCACTTGTTCTTTTTGGGTATTTGATCTTCTTTAATATTGTAAGAAAAACTGCCAAGAATTTTAAAAATAGGTAATTTTAAAATGGTAGAAGCATTTGTTTTGGATCATTTTTCATAATTGTAAAAACAGACACATTCTTCAGAGATCAGTGTTCAGTGAAAAGTGTGGGAAATTCCTGCAAATTTCTAAAAGTCAAGGAATTTCTATCACATAAAAAACTTATAGTAATTTTTTTATGTGATATAATGCTGATCTTTCTCATGTAAAAAATAACCATCTTTAAAATACATCTGACTCATCATCATTCAGTCAAATAAGTAGTCAGTTGACCTGCAATTATTTAAATAAATTGGTCTTTTTTTTTCTTTTCTTTTTTGTTTAAATCCTTTCACCTCAAAAAAGGCAATAAATCTACTCCAGAGAGATGACGTCTCACCGGCTTTGATCTTTGCTCTCTGAGACTCATTCTGGGCATCAATTGGTCTGACCAGGTCACAAGTGCCATAGTTCTAACCCTTTCGCAGTGACCCAGCCTATAAGGCCTTTTACCAAACAGTGCTAGCTCTGCTGGCTTGAACATGTATGACAGATGGGAGGATTCTGAAGATACTTTTGTACAGGGAACTGGCAAAAGGTCTCAAGGCCAAATTACGCTGAGGGCTGGAATGAGGAGAGGAGAAACGAAGGCTTGCTGCCAGGGAGAAACTTTTTCAATGGAAAGAAAACAACACAGCAACATCGGGAGAGAGCAACTTCACATGCATTAGTTGCAATTGAGACTATCACTCCCGTGTAGGCCTGTACAGCCATAACAGATGCTGTACCACCATCAGCAGCTAGAGGCATAACTCTTTGGGTGCAGACCCAATGTTTCTTGAGACAAATGGATGTTGCATAAAAAAGGTAATAAAGCCACTAAGACACAAAGGGTTACTGAGTGTGCGAGAATATGAGAAAAAAATGTTATTAAGCAGAGAGAACAATAAAAGAACAGGAATTAAGAAGACAAGATAACGATTGACATTGCATTTAAAATTTGAAGGTCAAAATTAACTGGGAAGCAAGGAACTGGAAGAAAGAAGTGCAATAAAAGAAACTGTTAGCATAGAACTTACAGTTACATCAAACTATTTCCAGTGTAAAATAATGAGACCTTGCTGCCAATGCAGTCATAAGCACCCATTTATTTTGCAAGATAATGATAATGCCCTTTGGTCAAAATTCAGTTCTTTGTGGGTGAGACTGGAGTGAATGCAGGACTTGATCAATGGCATATGGAGGCTGTATGCGGCCCAGTCTATATGATCCCCCACCACACACACACACCAGCTCTCAGCCATACCGACAAAGGAATAAAGAGCTTTACCTTTGAAGTCAGATTGGCTGCAGGAGAGGCCAGAAGGTTGTCAATGTTGACAACCAAGCACTTTCAGGTCGCCACTCCAAGTTTTCTGTCCGGATTTACTTCTGTGTCTTGATATGACCACAGGGTACTGGAGGTTTAAAATTAGGGTTTTCCTTCCTCTAAATGGACTCCCTTCCTGGGCTAGCAAGCTCCATCCGCCTGAAGCAGCTGGTTTAGTGGCACCACTTTTCTGTCTTCACCCATTCTCCGGCTTGGAGCTGGACTTAGTTGTCAGAGGTTATCTGAGAATCATGCCACAGAAGCATTTTATAGACAGCTTGTCCCCCACTATCACCTCCGGCTATGATAACCTTTGGAACATAAATAATATACGTATATAGACATTACATACATTGTGTTTTAGAAGCTCAAAAAAAATGAATGTTGTAAATATATAAAATGTTAGGTAAACAAAGAGACTAGAAAGCAAGATAAATTATTTATGAAATAGGACATAAATAAACAAACATAAATATCATAAAGTTTGTTAATTTTTATGTAAGAGTTCTTGGATTGCAAAGGAAATATTTGTTGCAGATTACTTCCACAACACAGAGAACAAATCACTGTAAGTTTAGACTCAAATATCAGGAGCAGAAACAAATGCCGAAATCTCAATTCGCAGGTACTATCTCACAAATCACAATGCAGGTAACTGATCAGAAAAATAACTCGCTTTCCAACGAACTTGGTAGCCAAAATACACAAATTTTATTTCTCCCCCTCGATTCAAGAACACCAATTGCTTTTATTGGCCGAGCATTTTTTCCATTCGTCAACAACTGGGGGAGGACGCTCAATTTTAGCATATCAAAATACTTTTATAGCGACTCCTGCGACTGACTTGTTTAATTTAATTATCCTTCTTCAGCATCTCATGAGGAATACATGCCCCCCCTTTTTTTTTTGCAAGTAATTTTGTTTTTCTCAACATTTTGTGTCGTAGGATACATGTGACATGCTGTCGCTTGGTTTGATGAGGTAATTTGCCGTTTTCTCCACTATATTTTATAAAAGGAAACAAAAATGAAAATATAAATTGAGATTTAAGCCTAAAATACTTAGAAATTACAAAGTCATTATTTAACATGCAATAAAATAATTTATTCTATCTTTTTGAGAGAACTAGCACCTAAACTAACAATTCATAAAAATGAACAAGAGTATAAAATGCAAAATTGATAAATATAACTTTAAGTAAGCAAAAAGAGAAAATAAAAATAAGACAATCTTCAGGTTAGTTGTACAAAAAAAATATTAATACAGAAAAACCCGGTAAGTGGAAAAAGTTAAAAGAAACAATAATCAACAATACATACATAATGTCAAATAAATATAATAATCGTAATATATATAATAAATAAATAATAAATGCATATTAGACTAAATTATTATACTACTTTTAAGCAACCAGATTCCATAGACAGGCTATGGCCACATGTGGCAGGATGCTAAACCAATGAGAGGGTATGCAATTCTGACAGTGATGAATTGTCTTTGTCTAAGTTTTGGATATAAGACCAAAATGGTGAGAAGTCATCAGAGGGCCACAAGAATTTCAAAGCGTTGACTGTAGATAGGTGTATTTATGCCAAGGGGTCACCAGTGTGGATATGTGGTAGGATTTTCTTTACCAGAAACTTTGGAATAAAATGAACTGACTCAAGGGTATAAAATAAATAATATATTTTTTATTTAGTGATTCCTTTGGTATTCAGTGTAGCAAAATGTTTGTTTATAAGGCAGATATTGGTAGCAGTCTGGGGAAATGTTTGTTTTAACTCTGTAGTGGGTATTTTTATGGTCAGATTGTTCTAGGGAAAGTAGTAATATTAGAAATAGGTCAATGTCAATCAACTGTGTTTTTCTTGGCCCAAAACAGCAGAATTTTCATTAGCAGATGACCTTTTAGTTACTTCTTCACGCGTTATACATGGCTGGTTTTTCTGTGTTAATGTCTTTTGTTCTGTCCTTCTCACTGTCCCTTCTGCTTCTAGCTCAGAGATGCCAGCTTATATCCTTTTCACCAGGCTCTGAGACTCTGGCAAGAACATTGGTTTCAGCTAGCATCAAGTCTCTTTGTGTCAATTATTTTGATTGGCCAAAATTATTTTATTTTCTGGCATTCCTTTCTTTATCATTTGAATCCTTTTTATTTTTGTTTATATATATATATATATATATATATATATATATATATATATATATATATTTTCGGGATGCACTACAGATTTAAATATTGATTACATGGCAAACTTTTTGGAGTTATTTGATTTTTCCATTGATGGACAAAAGATTATTTGCTATTATTTAGTTTTTTTAGCTGTGAAATGAAACAACATTGTATGCTTCCAGGGAAAATGATTAAAAACATTTCCTTTTCTTTTTTTTAAAACAGAAGAAACCAATCCGTGTTGCAAAGTGGCAGAGTGAATGGCATAAAAGAGAAACGGTCTGTGGATAAAGAGGATGAAGCGGAAGATGATAATGTAGACGAGAATGACATGGAAACACCGGAGCAAGAAGAAGAGGTTGACAATGATGTTGATGAAGAAATGGATGATGACAGTGAAAAGAAAGAAGAGAATGAAATCAGCCAAAATAGTAGTAAGTGTTTCATTGATTGAATGCTATATTGATCCATTTAGTTTGCCACGTGTCATTTACAATAAACTCTAGTACAACCTGCCAATACATTATTTTAGTTAATGTTCACGAATTGCAGTTCATTGCTTCGAAAGCTACCTGCAAACCCGTTTCTGAAATGAGGTATTATTAATTTTTGGCTAGTTTGTCTCATCTTTTTCTTGTTGCTTTTGTTTTAAATGAAAACACTGTTTGTTTTATGTTCTATAATTGTTAAATATCAGAAAATATCAACTAAATATTGACTTGCATCCAAAACAAATTGGTAGATTCAAATTCTCACTTCTTATCTCCATGTATCAGCATGTATCAGTCAGGTTACAATGGATAACAATCAGGTGTCATTTTAAATTTAATCCATTAAATTTAATACATTTCAAAACTTTATACAGCTATGACATTTCATGCCACTTCCACAGAGTTGAATCAACATCATTTCCCCTTGTTCCAAATATAAGAAAAAAATTCCTCTCATATAGCTTTTTTTCCCCTAGAAGTGCCATTTTGTGGGACAAACTCCCACGAGGTTGCTTCCCTGAAGACTTTGATCTTCACTTTTTAGTGCATTCTCTTCCATTCATATCACATGCTGCATTCATCATAACTATTTTAACTAACTCTACCTTAGTATTGGGGAAAATTTTGTATTAAAAAAAAAAATAACTATTTTTGGCAAACATGGACCTTTGTGCCCGGAAAAAAAAAGTTTCAAAAGAACTTTTTTTTTTGACACCGCTATTATTTTAACTACATTCGCTCTCTTGGCAATGTTAACTTACAAGACGCTAAAAAAAAATGAGAAAATTATGAAAATACGATGATCAGCTGAAAAGTTCAAAGTCTAACAAAAATATAAATGTAAGTAGACACACCAGTTGGTAGATTAAAAGATATGTAAGTGTACCAGAATACAACAGCTGGTCAGCCAGGGTGGTTTGAAATCTAATTAGCCTCTTAATTTTGTGAAATATTTTTTCTTCACTGTTTTTATAGTGTTATTTTAATCTTTATTTTGATTTGAAAATTTATTTAATATTTGTTTCCCATCATTTAAAGATTAACCAGCCAAAACATTGTTTATTGTGTAATATAGAGTTTATTCTTCCATTTGTAATTCCCCCATTATGGGCATTATTATATCCATGATATAATAACAATGTATTTCACGGACAGAATGAAATGGATGAAAGGAAAAGGAATGACAAACATGCTTGGTTCTCAGAGAGACTTTTATACTAAGACATACACAAAACTATATATACATATTTACACATGTCCCATGCAGAGAGAATATAATATATATCTACACAGGAAGCAGAGTGAAAGGAGAACAAAAAGATAGTGTCTTAGATATAATATGGATATTCTTCTGTGTTTCTGGAGAAGCCATGTTTAGAACTCTGGATTCATCTACTATGTGAAAGCATTCTGCAAAAAGAAAAAGACAAGTCTTGGATTGTGAGCCATAGATGGTTTCTTTATTTATATAATTTATATATATATAGGGAAAATATTTCTGAACTTCAGGCATAGGAAGGGGATTATTACTATTTACATTATATGCATGTAAGTTATTGTTCTCATCTTTATTATTATTATTATTATTATTACTATGTTTCAGCTGTTGTCCTCAGGCCATCATCAGGCAATTATCAATCCAGATAAACTTCAAGGAATTTTGAACCAAACCCTTTAATTAAACTATGAGAATAGATTGTTCTGATTCTGCTGACTATTGTTAGTCAAGATATCCCTAGACATGGTCAGCAGAATGAGAACAATCTATCTTTGTAGATTAAATATAGGGTTCAGTTTGAAATTTCCTGAAGATTATGCTGTTCACAAAGAAGGATATAACGGCTAAAACACTGTGGTAATAACAAAGTGAAAATAATAGTTTTCATGTATATAATGTGATATGTCCCGGAAAGGGATATATTTGTTCAAAGTAGCAAAGTGGTTGTTGACTACTGTAACCAGGTAGGACTATCTATCAGGTAACCATAATGGACTGGTCCTCATCGTAGTGGTAGTCAATGGGCGTAGCCCCTATACCTCCATATCAGTCTGTATTTATGGCTGACACCAACCAATCTTATTACTGTGAGGGGGAACCCAGGTGTATGCATATTCATTGCATCATAATATAAATAAACAAATAAATGTAGGGAGTTTTTTTGTTTTTTTTTTCATTTCACCTCAACCAAGGCAATAAAGCCACTAAGACACAAGTCTGATTCTGAGTGTTAGAGAATATAAGTAAAAAAAACACACTATTAGGTAGAGAAAATAATAAAAGGGCAATAGATAAGAACACAGAAGATAATGATTGATATTACTTATAGTAAAAAAAAAAAATAAAGATAAACCAAAATCTTTTGTCAATGAAGAAAAATTTGTTTGATCCGTTTTATGAGAATTAAATAAACTTAGAAGAAATGTCAAAGAAATGGTTTTATATTTAAAAAAAAAATATATAATCCAATTTTTATTTTGTCAATAATGTTTTGATTAATTTTCTTTTTTGGTTAGATTCAACTGAACATCTGGTAGAAGAATTTCTTACTTCATCTGCCAAATCATCTTTAGTGAATTCTCCCAAAGGTTTTCCTACTTCTGGAAAAGCAATCAACCCATTCAAAGTAAGTATTTTACAGTTTTATGAACCTGTGATTAAACATTTGACAAGATACGTCACAAAGAACTGTTTGAAGTGCTAGGTAAGCTCGATTTATTTAGGAAGGATATTAGAATAATCCAGAACTTACACTGGGAGCAAACCACCTGCATGAGGATAGAAAATGAATTCAGTAAATACACAAAAATAGAAAGAGATGTAAGACAAAGATGCATCTTCTCACCAGACTTATTCAACCTTTGAACATTGAAGCATACCTGAGAGAATTGGAAGTCCTACCAGGATTCATTATTGGCGGCTACAATCTTGACAATATTAGATGTGCAAATGACACAGTGTTGATAACAGGGACAGAAAAGGAACTACAGAAACTCCTACAGAATATAGTAAAGGAAAGTGAGAAGAAAGGACTAAACATCACTGGTAAGAAGACTGAAAAAGAAACAGCCCAATATGCAAATTACAAATTGGAAATACAGAGAATGGAAAATGTGACACTGAAATATAGGCATATAGGGATAAGGTAAGCAATGTATTAAGAAATAGGAAAATTTCATTTGAAACAGAAAAGACAACTGAACTGTTACATAATACCAGATATCCTGTATGGCAGTGAATGCCGGACCATCTAATCAAAGATGGAGAAGAATTGAAGCAACAGAAATGTGGTTCTACAGAAGGATACTGAGAATACCATGGATTGAGCATGTGAGCAACAAGGAAGTTTTAGAGAAAACAGAAACAAAAAGGAAACTTTTATGTAACATCAAAGGGGTTGGGTACATAAAAAATTTGACACTCACAGGACATATTGAAAGCAAGAGAGACGGGGGGAAACCAGCACATAATCAACCTAACGAGTTTGTGTAAATGGTTGGCAGAACAGGGATTAGGAGATATAACAAAAAGAGAAACCTTACAAAGGGCAGGAGAGTGTGGAGAGCCATGATCTTTCACGTTTTGAAGGGACACACCACACAAGAAAAAGATGATTGACTTTTTTTTTTTATGACTGCCTTAATTATCCTAAAATATTATTGATAGTTAATTATTTTATCTAATCATTTTATCCCTTTAAAAGTAATTGGTTATTTCATTGTTATGAATTATGAGTTAGCTGACCAAAGCAGAAACAGGGTTGGATGTTATGAAATTATGTCTAGAATTATTTTATCAGCTCTTCTCTTAGGGTTTTTGGAAAGTATGTATTTCATTGCTGTGAATGATGAGTCAACCAACCAACGTTGAATGATATGAAACTGTTTAGAATTAATTTATCACTTTTCTATCTGAATGGATGTCGTTTATAATACATTTCAAAGCTTAATTGAGGGAAAAAGGAATTTGGTTTCCTCATGATCTTTTGCTTGAGAACCAAATAATGTTTTGCCATCTACAGCAGTCTTTTAACCAGGAATGATAACCTTTCATTTTTGCATTGCCACAGGTGATGAAAAATGGGTTTTGCATGGCTTTGCTTTGTTGGAATATGAGAATGTGTCCTCTATTAAGAGCTATTAGAGAATGGAAGGACCATCACTGCAGATGTTTATTGTCAGCAACTTGATCGGGTAACATTTGCCAGATTTAGCATCCACAGATTTTAATTTGTTTCACTCACAAGAACATTTTGTAAGTGCAGAATATTCAGAAACAAAGATGAAGTTGAAAACAATCTTTTTGTTTTTATATCCTATCTGGTTAATAAATAATTATTTTCTGAACAACCTAATGTATTATATTTACTAATAAACTCTATAAACTACTGTTACTATTTTGTTCAGTATATCCTTGTATAACTTGAACAACTTTCTATCCAGTATTTATTGCCTAAAACATTTTTTTTCTTTTTCTGACAGGTCAATACTCCACAGAAACCATTACCAGCTACAAAAGGCACTCAAGTATTTGATTCGATGATGAAAAACAAATCAAATAAAATTTCACTTTTCCCAGCAAATGAAGAAACCAAATCCAAAAATTCAAAAGTAAAAAGCATTTTATTTGTTGGCAATTTTGATCTTTTTTATAAACAATTTAAATTTCACATGTAAAATTGTATGATTCAGAACATTTAAGAGAATTGAGACATCATGACTAATAAGAATTTAGCAATGACTTATTTTTGGTAATAATACTATTTTTATTCATTTTTTAACTAATATTTACTTTTTTTATTAGATGAAGCATTGTCAGCCATTATTATTAATTTTTGACTAGTATTTTCATCTCCATTTTTTATTAGATGAAGCATTGTCAGCCATTATTAATTTTTCATTAGTTTTTAATTTCATATTTTAGAAAAATTAACTAATACTGTAAACCTTAAATTATTAAATAAAAGAATCCCTTTATGAATTAGAAAACGGAAAGAATTTTCTTGAAACATTTGTAGAAATAAAAACCTAACTACACTTTCTAAAAAGTATAAATTTTAATGTCTATTTAGTGCTACATGAAAAATTATCCTTCTTATTCTTCGTTTTTGAGGGTTCAATTCCAAATTGAAATTGGTTAAAATAAAATGTATAAGAAGCTTCTGTTTATTATTTTCCTTAACCTAATTTTTTAAGTAGAAATTAATAAAACGGTTATGAAAAGTGAGATTCAATGAAAAATATATATAAACTGACCTTTTACCAGACAATGACTGTGAATATTCAACACAATATAAATCTACTGCTAAAGTGAACCCCCAATTACTTTTGTCTGGTTTTATGTGCAGATAATTTTAAAGTAAGCACTAAATGTAAAGTTTATATCATTGTTAATAGCCTGGGGTTAGAATGGGGGGGGTTCTGCCACTACAAACTGAGTTCTTAATAACAGAGAAGGAAAAAATACAATTTTATTTGTTTTTATATTTTTAGTCTTCTGTATTTTTAAAACTTCAACCTTCTTTCCTTGAAAGTGACCAATGATGGTCAAAAAGGATATGGAACATTACACACAATTTTGGGGGATGTATGGCTGGTGTAATGGATAGTGGCTCAGAATGAGAGATTGGAGTGCTGAGTTTGAATTCCAGTTGAGTTCGTTGCATTCACTTATGCACAAAAATACCCTTGGGAAAGATACGAATCTAGATCTCTTCCCATCTATGGGTTAAATAGACATATCTGAAAATCATTATTATCTTCAAAAGATGTTAATACAAAAAAAGAAAAAAAGAATTATTCTTACAATCAAAAAATATGTGTCAGCTTTAAATAACATACAAAAGGTCGATAAGCCATAAAAAACAAGTCAATAATCAAGTTCGGCAAGATCCTTTACAAATTTCCAAACAACATCAAACAGTTTTTTCTACATCTGGAAAAACTAATCAAACATTTTCAGATATTCCCTGTTTTTCTATTCAGTAAAACATATTTAGAAGATGGATTGCTGCTGAAATATACCATGTTTACTTTAAAATTATAGATTAATGAAATAATGGCATGCTAATTTGCATAAAAATGGACACAAAATAATGGTCCAGTTTAGCCCTTACTTTTGTAAATTGAGTTAGTTTGGATGAGAGTCTGAGCTGGGTAGACATTTTTTCTCTGATATTATCGATTGTACATAATAACTCTTGAGTTCATTAATAGATTGTAATCCAGTGTCATTGTACAGACAACCAATAAATAAATGATTGAGTCTGTCTTGGTTTTGTGCCCCATCCATAGATTGCCACAGTACAAATTTTGATGCTTTCTCAGTCGGATGTTGTATGAAGTATCCAGCAAGTTTCACTCATCTTTCAATGTAAATTGAGCCCCCCTCTAAAAAGAAAACGAGATTTTATTTTTCTTTCTTTATTTTTTGTGATGTTTTATACTATAAATAAATTTTGCTTTAACCTTTTGGCATTCAACACACTGAAACCCACTCCATAAATATCAGCTCTTAAAGTCTCACTGTTGGTGTGACTTCCCACGTTATTTGCGATGATGTAGTCATATATTATGGCAAAGTATTCATGGGTTGGGTTATGGTGGGTTAAACATTGAGAGCCAATATTTAAGAAGCAGTTTTGGGTGGGTTAATTCACAGAAAAAGTAACATTTTTTTTTGCTAGCATAACAGAAATTTCTGCTACTATAATGGAAATTTTTTTTTTTCTTCACAGAATCTCCCAACTCAGATGAAATTATTTTCAAGCAACAATAATTCTTGCAATGAGAATTCTACAAAGAAAAACACCAAAGCAAGCAAGGCGAATCCGAAAAAGTGAGTATATTGCTTTTCTGGCAGATTTAAAAGATCTGATCTCTTGAATAAAATAAGTGGATCAACAGTAATCCAACAAAAACTGGAAAAAAAATTAAGCGAGTTTAGTAGCTTCCCCCCACCCTGTTTTGACAGCTACCTATCTTTTGTTATTTTTAAAATGTGGAACAAACAGAGAACCCACAATACCACCAAGCCCCTGGTCATTGTACACTGTATAAGGTGAACCTTCTGTAAAATAAACAAACAAAAAAAAACACTCACTAAGTAGCTGTGGCAAACTTACCTTATATAAAAATCTGGCAGACCCTGAATTTAAGAGTTTTATTGACCTTACAAGATCAGGGTGATGCTTAGTCATATAACTGTTCTTCACGGGTTCCCTTACTAAGTTGTTTCTCTTACGGTGGTTTTCTATGCATAATTTAGATGTGGCACAAAGCCAAAAGAATGGGGCAGTCAATGAGGATTGAACTCACTATTCAGTAGCGATACAAGCTTACTAACCATTAATACCATGTCAAAGTTCCTAAATCATTTCTCTTATGAGAGAATAGTTTGACAAAAGAATGCTATCCTCCTTGCTCCATTGAAAAAGTGGAAAAATATATAGGGGGCAGATTGAAAAATCTGCTATGGTGAACCATATTTGAAATAAGAAAAGATGGGCAATGATTGTTGGATCACATGGTTGCTGATTTACGGAACTTTAAGGAAGGAGGTGGCATATATTGTCTAATGGCATGATTGTCTGTATCAAGGTTTACCTACTGTAAGGATTATACATTATGTCTAATGTCTTAAATTTGATATAAAATAATAATAACTAATACTTTATTTACACTGTTTACATTGTTCAGACTGTTGCCCTCATCTTTATTGTCATCTTCATGACATTTCGGCTGTTGTACACCCTTCTTCAGGTAATTTGAATTTTGAACTAAACTCTTTATTTCGTCCACTGGGGTAGATTGTTCTAGTTCCATGTGTTATGCCTCTTCTGGATATCTCAGTAATCTCCCTTTAATTCCAATCTCTAAGTTTTTTTTTTTTTCACCACTGCTGTAGGTATTGAATTCACAACACTTTGGGTCAAGTCACTGGATAATAACTAATTACATTGTAACCAGTCTACCACAAAAAGAAATGGTAGCAGACATTGGGAAAATCTTAGTCATGAATTGAAAGAGACATGATTGCCTAAGCATGTATTGCGTATAGCACTTGAATTACTGACTGACTAGATTACTAGCTAGGTGTCATCATTTCAGTTTTGAAATATGTAGATGCAACCGCCAGTTCTATGTTAATAGTTTCTCCTCTCACAGAATGGAACTCTTTTCCAGCATCTTGTTTTCCTATCAATTACAATCTTTAAAAAGTGCAGCATCAATTATCACCTGTCTCCTTGAATCTTGTTCTTTTACTGTTTTTACTTTTTACTCCTCAATAATTGTCTTTTTTTTTCTTTTTTTCCTCAGTAACCCCCTTGCATCATAGTAGCTTTTATTGCCCTGTTTGGGGTAAATGGTTTAAAAAAAAAATTATGGGATGAACTAGGTTTGCTTATCATCCTATTCACACTCCTCCCTGGCCTTTTGAACAGGAGTAGAGGTTTATCCCTTGTTTTCTGTTTAGGATTGGGTTTCCGATTACTTCTAAAGTCTACTTCAACTCTATACTTCTAACGTTTCCACCCGAACTCTGAAATTTTATTTACTATTTATTTTTCTCAATACATGTAGATAGTTTTGTCTATCATCCTGTTCACGCTCCTTTTCGGACTTTTGAACAGTTTATCCTTTGTTTCCTTTTTAAGATTGGGTTTCCAGTTCCTTTTTAAAGTCTTCTTTATTCTCTTTCACTCTCAATAGCCCCTTGCTTGTATGTGACATTGCCTTGCTTGGGGTGAATTGATTACAAAAGGAAATCATTTATTTTGAACCAGATCCAATGGCTTACCATCTCAGTTGCTGCTGTAATATCATTTTCTTTGCTCAATTGCAATGAATCCCAGCCAGCCCTGCAAGTGCACACACGCGTATCATCTGCAGCCAACCTCAACAGGGAAAAGTTTAGCCTGTCACCCTGCATCTTCATGTTCTTTCACTAGTTTTTCGTAGTTGTCTATTCTCCGAATTTGAACAGCATCAATTTTTGATAACGCATCTCAGATAGTATTAATACTTCTGGCATATTTTGTAAAAAAAATCTAATGACTTTGTATATTAAAAAATCCTCCCCCCTCTCTATAATGCATGCATCTAATAAAGTTCCCTAAGCGGCCACATTTCTAGGGCCCACTAGATTTCTTGGTGTCTTTAATCTCATTTGGAAAGATTTGGGAAGATTCTAGAATGTCTCTCATGAAGCTATTTTCAGTTGGCTTCATAAGGAGTTGCATTTCTATGCACGTGAAAAAATGGTAAAATATTTTTATTGAAAAAATGTTTCTCTTCAGTGAAATCAATGCATATTTCTGTGTGTGTGTGCAAGAGCTTCCATAAAATGATGCTTGGATCATAAGCATATAAAGTCATTATTATTAACTTTTTACTTTTCTTTACTTTCATCTTCAAATATATGTAAAAAATGAAGGTTAATATTTGGCAATGTTCAATTGTAGAAAAAAAAAGAGCTGAATTAAGTTTATTTTTACTCATAAAAATGCATAAGCAAAGAAAACTTGTTTTCCAATTGGACCAGTTTTGAAATGAAAATCTGAATATGTCTGTTAAATTCTCTTTGGCTTGTTTGCTTTTAGTACCTCTATAAAATCCGGCTTTCCTGCCTGGTTTAAGGAAAACAAACAAGAATTGGAAGAGGAAAACCCAGAAATGTCACCAGAAGATATTAAACAACTTGGAATGGATAAATTTAAGGAATTGCCAAAAGAAGAAAAAGAAGTAAGGCATTTATATATCTTTATTTGAAATAAATATTCTTATATAAAATATATATTTGTATAATTTATCAATATGTAAATAATAAAATGATTTTTTAAAGTTTTTTTTTATTACTTTTTAAGTGTTTTCATTAATTTGTACATAGAAATTTATATATATATATATATAATGTCTGTATTCAGTTGTATGGATATGAGTTTGTGACCCTGAGTTTCATGCTTTTGTGAGCATCAAACAAACTGGTTTATTTTTTAAAAATAGAATCTATTTATGCTTGTTTGTGTTTGATTATGTTCAGTGGTGGTGGTGGAAGGGGGAAATTCTCTTTGTCTGTTTGGGAATGACACTCTTACATACACAGACATACATACATACAGGTGTACGCATTTTAGTTCACACAAAGATATCCATATAAACAATGCGAGATTAGGTGCAGATACATACCCATACTTTTAAGCATACATACATGTGCAGTCGAAATTCTATTTTGGTGTCGAGACTTATATGCAGTGATGCTCTTTCAACAAAGGACAGGTGGGAGTGTTTTTGACTCTTTTCAGATCAGCCAAGTGTGCCGCCTGACATAGTGATGATGGCGAAAATAGTAATAATAATAATAATAACAACAACAATAATAAAAAAAACCATGACAGTGGCAAAAAGCAGGACTAATGGAGTTAGATATTGAACATTTTCCAATAAGTACAGCACATATAAAATTATATATATATATATATATATATATGGTATAAAATGACAATTGGAAAAAAATCTTAGATTTTGCCGATGCATTTCATCTTCCGACTTTTTCAAGGCAAAAATGAAATAAAAATGTTTTTCGTTGTCATAGTTACATTAGAAAATCTAAATTTAAGATTTTTTTTTTTTCCAATTGTCATTTTATACCAATCTGTCTTGTCCACAGAATTGATCTGGGAATTTAACTATATATATATATATATATATATATATATATATATATATATATATATATATATATATAATATTTTGAATAATTCTAATGTTATATATATATATATATATATATATATTCCAACATTTTGAATAATTCTAATGTTATATATATATATATATATATATTCCAACATTTTGAATAATTCTAATGTTATATATATATATATATATATATATAATCCAACATTTTAATACAACATTTTGAATAATTCTAATGTTATTATAATGGGCACTTTTTTTTGAAATTATATATATATATATATATATATATGTATGTATGTATGTTTATTTTTTATCCGTTATTTTTATAGATACAAATATTTAAGTAATTGCTTGGTTTATAATAAACAGTATTAACAATATTTACTGTCCTGAATGTCAAAGAAATTTTGTAGAAAATATGTGTCCTCTGACGGGAATAGAACCTGTATCCTACACAGAACCGTCATAGCCTAATGTGCTATAGTATTTTAGCTGTAGAGGACATTCAGGCCGGTAAATTTTGTTAATATTGTTTATTATAAATGGAGCATTTACTTAAATATTTGTATCTATAAAAATAACGTCTAAACAAAAACTATATTAAAATAATTGTCGGACTCTGTCCATTTCAAGATGCAGACAGGAATAGGACAGGATGATAAAATAAAAAAATAAGTAGGAAATGTATATCAATCTAACATGTTTCACTTTTATTAAGGCTCCGTCAGCTTATATATATTGTGTCATCCACAGACATATGGACTCTCCCATCAGTTTCAATGTATGAGGATTTGACAACCTCATTCACTTTTTATGTTTGTGCCATATGTGACACTTCAGTCCCACTTGTGACCTGCATACAAGTTCACATATTGTGTAACAACAAGGGTATCAAGACATAGCCACAGGAATATTTACTTTGATGTCTTCTCAATTACTTTTTACTATTATAGTAGCACTGTTTTTTAAAATGAAATCTGATATCATCTTTATTGCTATCATTAATATTTTAATAGACATTTTATGAAATGGCAACAATGTTACATTTACTGCAATTGGTAAAATGTTAAATGAAAACTTTGTGATATTTTATTTACCAAGTGTTTAAGGGAATCTTTTTTTTTTTTCTGTGTTTTTGTTTTTGATAGATTTGGGAGAAAAAACTAAAAGCTGAATCGAGCGAAAGCAAGAAAAGAAAACGAACTGGAAAAGATGATTCTCAGAATGCCACCGCTGCTGCTGATGGCTCAAAGGAAAATAAAAAGAGTAAAATTCTATCCACCTCAACCAATTCCAAGTTGGCCAGTTTCATGTTCAAAAAAGACTAACCATTTTCAATAAATGTTTATTCAAACTGGGAATTTAAACTTGAATTAGATCCTGGATTGTTTAAATGAAAAAAATCTTAAACTCACAGGACATAATTCTTTCTTTTGTGAAATCTGTAATGATACATTATTACTCATCTAATATTTAACTCGTTTAAGACTAGTTTCCCCTGATGTTGTCAAAAATGGCAGAATTTTAAATATAAATTAAATTATTATTGTGCTCCATCTTTGGTTTTGTGAACATCTCAGAAATGTCTGACTGTCATGAGACACTGCCACATGGTATTGCCAGTGCAAGGGAAATAAATTGAGTAAAATTGAGTGGTATAGACATTACAGATGAAAAAAGCATCTGATATAGTAAAGTCTGTGTGATTTATGCACATCTATAATGTGGGAAAATATATATATATATATATATATATATATATATATATATACACACACACACCTTGATCCATTGAAATTTTGAGCAAAAAAACTTTCATTCAAAAGCTCTGTAATAAGGTACATAAATCATCAGTATCTGTATGAATAATAAGACAAACGAAGTAACTGATGAACACTGGCAGAATATAAAAGTTGAAAATTATTTTATTGTTTTATACAATAGTGATTTGGGCTATTTTTTCCTCTTTCATTCAAAACAATTACATATTTTTACTCAAAAGAATTAAAGATGTTTTTTTATATATTTTATCTTGTGAAATTTGAATATTTTTCAATTAAAATTGATTTTAATACCAGACATCCATTGATTTATGTGTTTTAAAAAATTAATAAATTGTTATTATACAGATATTTCAATTGTATTGAATTGTTTACTTTTAAAAATTGCTATAAAAAATTTCTTAGTAAACATCTATATAAAGTGTACTTGTTTCTGTTTGTCCGTCCATTTTTCAATCTCAGCAAATGATAAACAACTTGAAGTAACAAGCAATAACTACTGCAGTTACATGCAATTAAGAATTAAATAAATAACTCATTTAAATTTAGATTTCGAACAGAGTGAAGGATTTAAAAACAATTCTTTACTGAAGGTTTTACTAATTTCGTTTTTAGTTGTAATTGCAATTTATATCGTCTAAATAAAGTGTAATTAAAACTTAAGTGGGGCACGGTATGTTGCGCTTTTTTCTTTTCTTTTTTTTTCTAGCATGTGTACTGTAATGTATTTGAAATATTACCTAGTTCGGGTTCCCTAAACTCTTTTAAGAGTGACTTTATATGAAGGAACCATAAAGAATGGTGATTTTAAAAGAAAATAAAAATTGCATGCAAAATAAATGTAAACTATGGAGATCAGTTGTGTATAAGAAGAAAGATTATGCCAAATTAAGATGTCAAATAAAGACAAAATGATTTTATTATTTCTAAATTCTAATAACTTTTATGTACACAGGACACTGAAAGTAAAAAGCCAAAGGCCCTCTGTAGGAGCGCTAGCCTAAAGTCTGTCCAAAGGGCAGTTTCTAGGCTAGTTTAGAAATAATTTTATTGCACATAGGTCTTTTTTGAACTCGATTTTCCATCATTTTGAAAATTGGCATTTTCAGAGTAAGTCCGTGACTTGGTGTCTTTTTCATGTAGTTCTAGTGAACGTAAAATAAAAATTTTCTTTGGGGTATGAATTTCTTTTACAGGAGTCTATACCTGGACCTGAGTTATCTCCCTTAAAATATTTTCTTTTTTTTTTATTCTTTTTTTCGAAGCAGCATTTCATTTTTTTAAGAATTAAAAATATGCAATATAGAAATCCTGAAAATGTTTTTTTCTTTTACTCTTTTTTAAAAAAACAAGCCTTTGATTAAGGTGAAGAATCACTACAAATGGCATTTACCCATAATTTATCCAATATCACACTTAAAGCCAAAATGTTGTGGCATAAAAACATTTTTATCTACAATTCTGAATAGGTAAAATTTCAACAACAGCATTTTGTGTTTTTTTTTTTTTTTTAATAGTGTACAGGCTAGACCTTTTTCTTTCATTCCAAAAAGTCATTTTCTAATTACTTGTATTTGGCAAGACAAATAATAAATAATGAAAGATTCTAGATTACTTAAACAAAAGTTTCTTGAATGTTTTGCACCATAATTTGATCTGAGCCTGAATATGGATTTCACTTGAATGTCTCCTTTTCTTAAATCTTTTTAAAAAACTCTTTCAATTAAAAGGGTTTCTGGATTTACATGAATATTAGAAAGTAATTGCTTTTAACATTACAAAGAAAACATCTTGAAATGAATCAAGTTTAACTCTGTCTTCCAATTCATACAAATTATAATTACCATCAAAAGTTCAGTTCGCTTTCATTATACAGGCTGGACCAATAGTTCCAATATACATTTAAACTTTAAATTATGTAAAAATGCTAGAATATAAAGTTGTCTCTATTTTAGCAAATTAGGATAATCACAATGAAATAACTTTGCTGACAACATGGTTCACCTCATAGAATATGTGAGAATTTTGTGACTGCGTATTTGAAATATTGGTTGGAAGAAGTGTTGAATCGTTTCCAAGGTCACCCGACCCTAATGAAAAGGGGACTTTGTTTTAGTTGCTGATCAGAAAGAAAATTTTCAAAACAGGCAACAAGTCTTCAACAGATAAAGAAAAGAATTTGATATTTTGAAAGAGTAATCAAGAGATGAAAGGAATTCACCATTTTGTGTTTAAGGGGTGACAACTCTGTTTAAGAATAGAAAATCATTTTGGACATTTGTGATAACGAATTTTGATTTACTTAATGTCTATTAAATTTAGTCGAAAAATAAATTAATGAAATATTTTATTAAAATGTGATAAAGTAGTTTTTGGTTCGCATTGTATGTGCATATACACACACGCATGGGGTGCTGAAAGGTTGGTAGCGTGACCAACTTCACAAAAATTAACCAATGTCAGATTTTTATTTACTTTTATTATTGTTTTAAACCCCTTTTCAGTCTGGCTGAAAACTTTTTCAATCCTGCTTTTTGTGTGTGTAATAAATAAAAAAACCCAAAAAAAACATATATATCAAGGTCACAAGAAATATGGGTGCTATGTTATACGCACACATGAAAAAATATGTAAATTTCTTTATATAAGAACAATATTAGGTAAATCAATGACAAAATGGAAAAAATTCTGTTTAACATGTTTCATTCTCTAGTGGTTCTTAATCTTTTTTTTTTTTTTTTTTTTACCCATGAACCACTTTTACTCTTAATTTTTTTGGTGGAACCCCAGAACCATTTGATGAAAAAAAAGCTTATTTTATTTTTTAATAGATAATTTTAGGAATTATATTATAGAAATAGTAAATGTATATGCTTTATTTTGAAGTAAAACTAATTTAATGAAAATAAACTTGTATTTAACAATTAAATTCTATGGAAGATTTATGTATACTAGTAAAATAACTCAAACCCATTTTAAAATTTTTTTATAATCAAAAATTCCAGTAGAATAAAAGTGAAAGGAAAGTGAACTTAATCGCTTGATCTCATTTTCTGCTATGTTTAGAATTGTTTTTCTATTTTTAGTATTTTGATATGGCGTAGATTACTGTAGAAATTCCAATTCTCATTTGTAATAACCATTTCAAAATGAAATTGCTTTATTGACCACTAAAATATTACCATGGACCCCCAATTTGTTATTTTTTTGTGTGGACCCTCGGGGTCCATATGGATCCCAGTAGAGAACCACTTCTCTGGTAGGATTTCATCAGACTAAAGTTTTTTTTGTTTGATGGAATTATATATGTGCAGGAGGGGGAATGTGGGGTGGGATATACCAAAACGCAATTGTCGGTTATAATTATGAACTGACAGAAGACGCCAAAGATGTTGGAACTTATTCTATCACCTGTTATAGTTGTTACTAGGAATACATTGGAGAAACCTCAAGGAATTTAAATAAAAGATTATATGAAAACAAAGGGGATTGTTTACAAATCAACACACTCAATGTATTAGTTGCTCACCATAAATCTGACTATAATTTCCATTCAAAAAATGCTGCTTTAGTTAAAAGAGAAAGCAATATTCCATGGCAAGAGTATATAGAAAGAGCTTTGATTGCTAGCTCATCCAGAGTGAATTTGTGTCTAGGTTCTTACAACATTTCACCTTTCTTGGCAGATCGATTATCACAAGCCTGGTTACTTAATAAGAAAAGTAATGGAAACAAGGAATCTGAATGAAATTAACTATTCTACATAGCTTCTAAACAAGTGAAAAAAAAAAATTTAAAATGACAGCATTCCAAATCTTTGGTGTCTTGAGCTATTGGCATGGAAAGGTTTATTTTTATATATCACAATGGTTGTAAGGTGTTGGAGGGGAAAAAACTTTCTTTTTGTTTATATTATTGTTCACTCAATACAAGACCCAAGAGCCACTCAATGTAGAAATATCTATATGTCTACCATTCATCCATGTTTAGAATATTGCTACCATATATGGTCTGGTGCCCCTGTTATTTACCTTGAGCTCCTTGATAAGATCCAAAGAATCTGCAATATTATTATTCCTGAGCTAATGACTCAGCTTCAGTCACTTTCCCACCACCATGACGTTGCCTCTCTGTGCCTTTTCTATAAATACTTTCATGGTAATTGTTCAGATGAGCTCTTCACTATGGTACTTAGATATTTCATTTAAACTCAGCATAGATTGGTGTCGAGATCCCATCTATTTATGATTAACCTGGTTAAATGTAGCTGTAAATTCTATGCTAACAATTTCTTTTCTTATACTTCTTGCTTGTGGAACTCTCTTCTGGTTCAGTGCTTTCCAACCAACTAATATGCAAAAAATTTAAATGCAATGTCATTTGCTATCTATTGTCTATCTGATTAATCTCTTTTCTCTTTCTTCTCATCATCAATGTTCCTGTTCCTAATTCATCTACACCCTGTAACTCCTTGTGTTTTAGTGGCATTACTGCTTGAGGTGATTCTGATTTTTTTTTTTATAGGTGTGCCTCAAATAATTCTCATT